AGATTTGAGAGGTGCTTTGGAAATATAGGTGGTAGCTTCTTGCTGACTGTCAACTGGCATGAAGTCTGTTTGATCTACAGCAACCTGAAAGGGGGTTGTGGTGAGGTGGGTGTTGGTCTCTTCTCCCAGGTAACTACCGACAGGATGAGAGCAAATGGCCTGAAGTTGCACCAGGGGAGGCTTAGGCTGGATATTAAGAAAAATTTCTTTGCTGAGAGAGTGGTCAAACATTGGAACAGGCTGCCCAGGGAGGTGGTGGAGTCACCATCACTGGAAGCGTTCAAGAAAGTTGTAGACATGGCACTTCGGGACATGGTTTAGTGGGCATGGTGGTGTTGGCTTGATGGTTGGATTTGATGATCTTAGAGGTCTTTTCCAACCTTAATAATTGTATGATTCTATCTCTGTGTCTGTCTGAGACCATGCCTTCAGTATAATTCCAGAATCTCCTTATCAAGAGCCATCCATGACTATGTGCTTTTAGCCAAGTAGGTCTCTGTCGATTTTAACAAAACTGCAATCATCTGTCAGTACATCACTGAACGCTAAATACCAAAGGTAACAGCAGCTCATTACTAAGCTTATTTCTCTGGTTTTTAATTAATTGCAGCAATGCATGAGTCTGGAAGTTTTGCAGCATCACGCTCTAGACGTGAGAAGAAATCTAGAAGAGGCCAGCAAGAAGCACTGGAACGTCTGAAAAAAGCCAAAGCTGGTGAAAAAATAAAATATCAGGTGAAAATTCCTCATCTCTTCTTTTTAATAAAAACTGAATGTGAGCCAAGATGCTTAACTACCCTTTATGTGTATCTAAAAGTTATGGGAAACAAAATTTGCCTTTCAGCTTTTGGTTTTTAGTGGTGTATGTATTTCAGAATGTAACTGTAATAGTTTTGCTGCTTTCTGGTATCTTTAATTTGTTTATTTCTGTTTTCAAAACTAAAATTATTTTAGTAACTGCAAGTCATACATGCTTGGTATTGCTTGATAACCATCCCACAGGAAAGGACCAACTTTTAAAATATAACTGCGTAATTAATGTTATGATAGGAAGTGCTTTTTTTTTTTAACTTCAAATGATTTTAAACTTTAATTTCAAAGCTTTACATGACTGAAATCCACTAATATTCATATGCTATGTTTCCACAAAGAAACCAAAATTTAACTGGTAGAACTGAAATCTGGCAGTGTAACATTGATACTGCCCAGTTGTTTGCAGTGCCAGCAGGAAGTGGCTTCCACATTGAGGTGGATAAATCTAAAGCAGCCTGAAATGCATAGATTGTTAACATGTAAATTTACTCTGAGGCAGAGAAGAACATCTTAAGCATTATGCTTTGACACATCAAGTCACCTTCCTTTTCACTGAGTTCATCTTGGTGTTTGAGAGTAGAGCCAAAGGTCAGAAGTCTCCATTGCTAGGATTTCTTGTGCGCTGCTTTTTTTTTTTTTTTTTTGGTAATGTGAAATGAGCAATAAAGCAAATCAGTTTCAAATTAAGTCTCTGCCAGTGCTTCAGTAGATTTTGAGTTTCAGTACACAGTGATAATTTAAAAAATTTATAACCTGTCTTTTGTCACTGCCAAAAAAGAAACTTAAACTGAATGAATAACCATGCTTACTGGTTGTGAACAATGTAACAATGTAGGAAAACATGCATTTTGGGGGGGACTTCTGTGTGCTTACTGATGACCTATATTAAACTTCAAATGAATTATAAGTAATGGTATGGGAACTGTTAATCCTCATTTTACCTTAACTGTAGGTTGAAGACTTCACAAGTGTTTATGATGAAATAGATGAGGAAGAATACTCCAAGATGGTCAGAGAACGTCAGGATGATGACTGGATTGTTGATGATGGTAAGTTAAGATTCATTTGGAAAGTTATTTTTGATTGTGGTGTTACAAGTCAACTGGGCTTCATAATGTTCATGATTTGAGGTAAGTTATAGTTAGTACATTCTTACAAATTGTTTTAGGAGACAAGGAAAAGATAAGCTTTTATATGGAAGTGAATCTTTTTCATTGTTCTCATATTAGTGTATTAGGGTGGTAATGAAAATATTTTTCCATTAAGAGCTGTTTTTGAAATTTTATGTCCAGTTATCAGTGATGTAGCTTTAAAAAGAGTACTGTAATCGATAATTTCTAATTAAACATGTAAAAATATATTTATTTTAATAGAAGATACAGATGAGAATGCTATAGTTATAAACACAAAAGTGTTAAAAACTTTCCTCTATATTAAAGGGGGGAAAGTGTTTAAATGTGTAAAACTTTGGATTATGAATATATTTAGAAATATCTGATGACAATTTAAAATGTAAATTTTTAACTTTTTTTTTCCCTGCAGATGGGATAGGTTATGTAGAAGATGGAAGGGAAATCTTTGATGAAGATCTGGATGATGATGCTCTTGGTTCCAATAAGAAAGGTAGGTTGGCCATGACCACTGTAGAAAGTCTTCCAGTGGCTTTTAAAAGGTACCTAAAACAGGCAACTTCTTGGCATCAGTGTGTGGTGAACATGGGCAAATGACACATTACTTGATGCTCGGTAGTTCTATGCCTGTGATTGTGGGTTTTGTTTAGTCCCTGTGATGCAGAAGATAGAGGTCCACAAACTGAAGTCAAATCACTGCTAACTAGTTCAGCACTACCAGGGCAACTGTCCTTACAGTCTTCTGTGGGATATATATTCACTTCTAGAACAAGTGCATCTAGGAATGATCTTGGTTTCCAAAGCCAGTGTCTAAAGGATGCGTGGTCTCTCTTGCCACTGAAATACTTGCATGCTTTTGTGTATCTGGGATCAAATGATTTTGCCAACTTTTATGAAGTTGGTGGCAAACTGAGAAAGTGAATCTGATGTTGAGAATCCAAGCCTAGCGCCAAACTTGGATACTCCAGGAAACACTTGTTTTCTGGAGATGCTTCCATGTCAAGTATCTCGGTCCTTTTTCTGGAATATGAACTTGAGTATGCAAAGATCATCTCTGCCATGACTAGGAAAGGTAGGATGCTGGCAAGCTTTTGCGTTTTTTTTGTGTATGCATGACAGGTGTAAAAAGCTGGCAGCAAATGAAAGATGATTAGGCTTCATTTCATCCAGAAGTGTAAAGGTGGAAGAAGTAGACTACCTCAGCTGTCTATTGCTACTGATAACTGGACCCTTAAACATTGAGCTTTTCTGATGTAGAATTCACAATTTTATATTTTTCTGTAGGTAAAGGTGGCAAAACTTCTACGGTTGATAAAAAGAACACGAAAAAATCTGTGGTGTCAAAGCCAAACACAATTAAGTCTATGTTTATAGCTAGTGCTGGGAAGAAAAACACAGACGTAAGTTTTTACATTTTTGAATTTAAAGATTTCTAATTTGTTTGCAGTGTTTTAGTGGGAGTGGAATAAAGCAAGGGCTCATTTCAGTTTCTTGAGTCTAGCAAGACATAAACTCCTATTACAAACTCTTGTGTATGGAGCATTCCTGAAAACATTGTGGTTTTTTTGTAGAAACTCTTTAGTCATTTGCTGCTGGTCCTGATTGGGTTTGCACTCGTAACTAAGAACTGTTTGGCTAATCTGTGTTACCTTACAGAAAACTGTGGACCTGTCAAAGGATGATTTACTAGGGGATATTCTTCAAGATCTCAATGCTGATGTAAGTATGTTAATAAAAATCTTGAAACACCTTAATCAATTCATTTTTTCTTGTTGTGGAACATATAAATAAAATAAAGTTCTTCCTAAAACGAGACCATCTAAGGTGGCTTTCTTCCATAGCACATCTGCTTGGTATATTCCACATACGAATGCAGTCTACTTGTCATCTCCACCGAGCAGAAGTTGCAGGACTGTATTGGTTTGATAAACCAATGTCCTGCTATGTCCTAATTAGAGATGATTTATATTAATGTGCTGTAGAGCCTGTGCTAATGCAGCTTTCTAGGTTTTAGTTAGCTTGGAGTGACAGGACTTACCTGCACCTGGATAGTGCATACCACCTATGTGTATCACCATGCTCCAGCCAGTATACTGTGGGATATTTCCATCTGGTGTGTTTGGGTTCATGAGAGGAGCTGAAGGGGGGACTGTTTCAGCAGATAACGTAGCCTCAGCTTCTGTCTGCCTCCTCTTGCTTTCCACAGTTTGCTGCAGAGAACGAGACTTAACACATCCTCTGAGTTAGTGGAGGATGGCTGCTGTAGCAGGGTTGGACGGTCTCAAATGAGGCTGTTCCTTGTCATTAATGGCTTTCCAATGAGTTAATGCCCCTTAGCGGGATTTCTTAAAGGATTGCTGACATGTAAACCGTGAAACTGCTGTAGTGGTGAGATATTGAACTGAAATATGTTGTATCATAATAAGCATAATGTATTTTTACAGAGTGCTAAGATTTTTCCAATGTAAAGTTGTTCTCTTGATTTTGTGTGCTTATGATTTTACTCCTCCCTATGACATCTGGTTGAGAGTTACAATATCTTAGCCTATCAAAAACCTTCAAATCCTTAAGCAAATGCATTTTAATGCTGTCAGAGTTTGTGGAGCATTGATCAGGGGAAATAATTCTAATAATTACATTACAGCTTCTATTTACTCAAATAGTCATTAGCTATTGGTTTTTGTGGCTTTGTGACTTGTTTTCTAAAATTTCTTTATTTATTAGCTATTAGTTATTTGCTAATTTATTAGTATTTAGTTATTAGCTGTTGATAAGGATGACTATAAAATATCTGTTCATGTAAATAAATTAAAATGGGTTTTCCTCTAGTGTGACCACGCTGAAAGAGCAATTCTGCCTTTCTCAAGGGACGTATGCTCAGTACTACTGTTTCAGCAGACTTGAAGAACATCCCACCAGTTATTCTGATACTTGGGCATTAAAGGTCAGCTATTGAAATGCCCACAGTTTGAAAACTGTTTCACTCATTGACGACAGTTTTTCTCAAACTGTTTACCAAAAAAAATTCTGGTGTCTGTCTTCATGGACTGATTGCTCAGATAACTTTTTCTTTTTACGTGGCCGAGTTGTGTATCAGGAGGTGCGTTTTCTTGGCAAATGAGAAATACTGGTGGCCTTCCTCTTTGATGGAAAATACTACTAACCAAGGCAAAAGAAAACACTAAATACCACCTCTTAATTTTGTCACTTTCTCTCTCAATATTCAGACTGTTCAGTTAAGTCCACCACCAATTATAATGCTGAAAAGGAAAAGATCTGCTGGAGTACCACTGAATCCTTTCTCTGTGCAGTCCCAAACTCCTAAGGTAAAGGCAAAAAAATGAAAAAAGTTCTCATTAATAAGTATTAATATGTATTTTAGTTGATTTGAATACTGTTGTCTTTAATTTCTTTTTCTAGAAATTACCTTTCTCATTAGCTTCCTTGGCAACGTTACTGTGTAACTTCATGCATTTTTCCTCTTCCCCTTCCATGTTAATACATAAACAGAATACAACTTTTTGTATCTTTAGTACAGTAGTAGTATGTAGCTGTTACATTTGACATGCCCTTCTTGTTATGTTAGGTGCATCACATGAAGGTGAGCTTCTGCTTTGTTTCTTTTCTCCTAAAAGTAGAAAAGACCCTTGTGGCAAGGAAAGGATGATGGGAAGTGAAATAAGCATTAGAAAGAGTATTTGTGGGCATGGAAAAGGATAAGAAACTCATCTTCTGCGGAAATGGAAAGCAAACGGAAAATTGAAGCTGTGGATAGAAGTTGACCCTAGTGGAAGATTTTGGAGTGAAAGGAGGGATGGGCTGCTGAGGATGGAAGGCTAGCATTTTGTTAAGAGTTCTGGTAAATGAGAAGGGCTTTATAGCTGGAAATACAATGAGATATGTGGTAAGAGCCTGTAGAGGGCAAATGGAGTAGAGTAGATAAATCTGATTTGTGAAACTTTGTGTTATAGTGACATGAATTCTTATGTTGAAAATAGTCACCAGTGGCACTCATTTCAACAATTGTGTTCGAGCCTCCAAGTAATTGAAAAAGGAAAAAGGGGAAGATACAGTAAGAGAGGATCTTTGTCTTTATGGTGCAAAACAGTGGTCACTTTTGGAGGAAACATTGAGAAGGAAATTAATTCCCAGACAGGCTGTTCAGCTGATAGCTTCTGTGGTCCTAAGAGGAGGAATTGGAGATTTTAGACAATTAAACAGATGAAAAGGATGAAGAGTGCAGCCTTAGGAAATAAATGGGCATAAAAAGCAAGATGGCAGTGATGCTTTCTACTTCAGGAGACAAGCAGAAATACAAGTATGAATAAATTCATCTGTCTGAGCTAACAAAAAATTGCTGGTGAAAGCAGATTAAGTGACATTTGCTTTCTGTTTAAGGTGATTTAACTGCCAAGTCTGGTGTTGGCCACAGTAGAAGTAGCTGAGCTGAGATTAAAACTGTAGAAATGATTGTGTGCAACTCTAAATTTTATGTTTTCAAGTAACAGCTTTCCCTGAAGATAAAGGTTTTGGACCTTACCACAGGTTAAGGGCCAGTAAATGCAGAGAGACCTGTTGCTGGTCATGGTGGAGGCCACTTCATACACATCTTCCATAAGAAGAGGGTTTTTTAGCTGCTGCTGTAGTGGTATCCTGTCCAAAAAACAAACTATGTACTTAGTGCCTCAGAGTTTAGGCTTTCAGAGCATGCTGAAATGCAGTTTCTTGGTTCTCCTCACTCTCCCTGTCATGTCTGCAGCATGAAGAAATCCAATGGAGAAGTGCTCTGCTCTCTAGACCCATGGTGTCTTGTAGACACCTCGAACTCGTTACTGATATGAACAGGTGTAAACTGCCATATTGGCCTTCCTGAGTTGTTCCAGGCTGTGTCCCTGCCTGACATATATTGTCACATACTCAGTTGACACAGATAGAGGTTTTAGTTTAGGAATGGGAAAAATAGTGACATTAATTGAATGTCAACCATGGCCTGTTCTAAACTGCTTTTTAAAGTTATAGTAGAAATGCATCGCAGCAGAAATGATGGTGTAGAATTTAAAATTTACTCTTGAGGAGTTTTAGCTGTCATGCTGCAAATATGTGGAGCTTTTCCCCTAGCCCTGGTTACTAGTTCTGCAAATAGTGAGTGCTAGATTTTTTTTTTCCTTTTTTGCTTTTAAGAGATTTTTTTTTTTTTTTTTAACTTATGGCTGAAATGTCTTCCAGGTAATCACCCCTATATCAAAGAAAGTTCCTGCTCATCTCAGAAAGGAAGCTTTTCCTCCAGCTTCATTTCATCCTGAACATGCCAATTACACAACAAAATCTGTCATAGTCTCTGAAAACAAGGATACCAAGTATGTGCAAAAAGCTACAGAAAATGGGGGAGTAGTGAAGACAATAGAAGAGAAAGCTATTGCAGGTATCAAAAGAATCAAAATGCAGTGCTGGAAACTCTTTAAATATGGCATATCAGTGTTAAAACACTTCTTAGTTTTTACTAGTTAGATGCTTAGATAGTTTAGGTGTAATATTTTGTTTGTATATTGACACTGTATATTATATTCATGCATATAGAATGCTATCTATGCATGCCACTGTAGTATATACAATGTGTCATTTTAATGATTCAAGCCTTTAGTTCTATGTGCAACACTTCCAGATGATGATCAGGGAATGATGGATTTTGATGAGGAGGACTTTGATGAACCTATGGAAGCAGAGCATGTGGAAACTATACTTGAGACATCCGAAAGCTTGGAGAGAGACAAGGAAATTGAAAAGAAAGAGATGGAGCAGCTAGAATCAGAGAAGAAAGAAACATCTGTCTTGTAAGAATCTTTCTCTTTTTTTTCATCCACCAAGAAGGCTTTTAGTATCTATGAACCGTAGACTTGTCTTTGCCAGTGGGGTAATTGTGATACAGACAGAATGATGATAATGCTATGTGATGTTTTTCTTTGTACTGAGGCTAAAAATGTTAATGTTGAACATGCTGATAGCTACTTAATTGAAAAATACTTGATGGTGTTGGGATTTAGTATATGACAACAGAACATGTATTTCAGTACATCAGGGTGACTCAATGTGGGTGTTGAACAATGAACTTTGGTGCCAATAAGCAAAAATGAGGAATTGCTAATGGTGGTTATTCTAAGCGACTATGAAGGTATTTCATAATGTTAGTTGTAGTTAAAAGTATTGTTGCTAAAAGCAATTTCACATGGTGAACAGCTGTGTCTTTGGAAATGGGGAAAAAGGGGTTTTTTTTCCCCTGTTTTTTTTTTTGATTGCTTGGAATAATCTTGGATCATATGTTTCCATAACTTTAAACTGTAAAATATTTGAATTATCAAAAAGACTTTAATGACTGAAAAGGTAGTTTTGTTGAAATGATCCATTGTTCCCACTGAGCAACTTGTAGAAATGGATGGATATATTTGTTACATAAAAGTCATTCAAATGACCAAGCCAGGTGAATGGCTTTTAAAGCCTGTGTGTTGTGTACTGAGAACTCTACTTGCATGTGGGTTTCTCTCTCTGTCACTCCATCCTTCTTTTCAGAAGAAATCTGAGGAAATCCAGCTGTTGGGAATGTTGCTTGGTAGTGGAAAGAGCAACAAAAGGCCTGAGAATATAGGGCTGGAAAAAAGCGAAATGGTGGATATAGCAAAGGCACAATTTTATTTCTTGTTTCTTTCTTCTTCTGCAAAACCTGCAGAAGTTGTTCTCTCCCAGGTATCTCATGTTGGGACAGAATTGATGAGGACGAAGCTGATCTAGCAGTGGCAGAAGTTCAGCTGGACCCCAATCTCCTTCCACTTGTGAATGGGGAAAATGATGATCAAGTCTTAAGATTTTATTGGCTGGATGCTTATGAAGATCAGTATAGTCAGCCAGGTAACTATTCAGTTAAAGGCAGAAAATGCTATTCTGATTCTTCTTATGTGACTGGGATTTTCAGACGCACCTAAATTATGTCTAGATACCCAGTCTCCATGTGCTCTATAACTTGTACGTGGATCTCTTGTTTTTCTGCACCTCTGTCCTCAGTGCAGGGCACTATGACTGGTCAAAGTAGGAATGTTCTCTCTTGGTCTAGGATAGTAGTAGGGAGGTGCAAAGGGACCTACTAGCATTTCTCGACGTTGGTGACCCATTGGCCCTCTTAAAACCCTGTGCACTCCAGGAATAAGCTGATACTGTTAATTTCTTAATCAGTGGCCCAACAATTGAGCATACTTTCTTCCTGTTTCTGTAATTGTAACTTAAAATACTGGTGGATTGTTAGAAAGCCTGTACAATAACAGTTGCATGATTTTATATGAAGGAAAGATATGTTTATCAAGGGAGGAAGGTGACCTGAAAAATACAAGCTCTGTCTAGATTCCTTTAGTCAAACTGTCTAAATTTTGAAGATCGTCTCTGGGTTAACATCCCTAAGATACTCTGTGCAGTTGAGGTGTGAATCCTGCCTCGTGTCGTCTTCAAAACTGCAGCATTCTGATCTCAGCGCTGAAAAAATTAAGTTGTGTTCACATCTGTTCTAAGCGCTATCTGTCTTCTTGTTTCATCAGCAGCTTTAGGTTCTTGGGTTTCTAATTTATGCTTCATGTAGGTTTAGAGGAAGGTTCTTCCATAGGTTGTTCAAGTTTTTTTGGGTTGATGCTGTAAGCATTGAGTCAGATAAGTTTTTTTGTTACACCTTTTGTTGTGAGTTGGGACGCCAAACTTAAATATGAGACTCTGCTGGGCTGAACAGCTTGGTGATGGGAGTGGTGATAATCACAGATATCTTGATGAAATCAATGGCTCTAATATAAAATTGCCACTTTTAAAGACACCACTATTGTTCTTTTTCCTTTTTTTTTTGTCTTCCAAGTCAGTTGCTGAATGGAACATAATTATGAAAGGATTTCTGTTCCTCGCATGCAAGGAGTGTTGTTTTCTCATTATGACTTTTTCAGGATTGAATAATAAAGACTGCACCTGTTTTCAATTAGTAATGTAGAGGGAAAATTTTGACACTGCTTTTTTTGTTTAACATGTTCATGATCTTTGTTTATGCCTCATTTACTGTGATGTCAAATGCATTGCCTGAAGAGTAAATACTATAGCATAATCATAAGACTCTTTCAAACTCAGTGAATTTTTGGAGGCTTACTTTTCATAACTCCCTTTACTATCTTAGGCAGAGAACTTGTGAATTGTAATCCTATTAACATTTTAAAGAAATAATGAATAAAAATTGCCCTTCCTTTCCCCTCTGCAAGACATTTTCCCTGTCACTTGACTTTGCTTGCCTTTTGGTTCATTGGTAACATGATCTTTCTTTTCACAGACTCTGGGTTTTATAAGATTTACTCCCATTTTTTTCTTTCTTTCTTCTTTCCATAATCAGGTTTACAGGGGATAGGTCCTGATATCTTTTCTCTCATTTCTTGGTTTTTACATCTGAAATGTCTCTGAAAACTCTTTAAAGTTAGCCCTGCTTTCATTATGTGTGTGTGGGGAGGGTGGGGTGTGTGTGTGTATGTTGGACTAGGTGACCTCCAAAGGTTCCTTGCATCCTAAATTATTCTGATTCTGTGAAATCTGGGGATTAAGACCATTTATTTGTCCATGATAGAGTTGATTGAAGTTCATCTTTGCAGTCCAGGCAGCCTTTTACCCTGTCTCTGACTGTCTCGTGTATCCTTCTTTCTACCTCACCTGCTTGTATGTATGCCTGACAGGTTAACTTCTCCATGCTCTTAATATTGCCAGCTGTTCAAGCGACTAACTCCTGTTTTGTGGTCTCTCCCATAGTTCATCTTTCTGTATGATACAAACCTATCTGAGTTTTTTATCCCCTTAAAAAAAAAAAAGATTGCTGAGGACAAGAACTTCATTTTCCCTGTCACTTAGATCTGTAATTTGAGCTCTTTCTAGATCCTTTTATTCAAACTGTCTAAATCTTGAAGATTGCCTCTGTATTAAAATCTCTAAGATACTTTGTGCAGCTGAAGCTTGTATCCTTGCTCTCATCATCTTCAAAACCGCAGCATTCTCTTTTCTGCCCTTGACAAAAGCGGTCTTGTTCACATCTATTCCAAGCACTCAAGAAATGATTTTTCTTAGCCTGTCACACTAACTCTGTCATCTGCCTTAGTGCATCTTCACTGATTTATCTTGGATCTAATGGAGTAAGAAAGGTGCCTTTACATCTGATAGATCGTGTGGAAAAGATAAATTAGAACTCAAACCAAGTTTGTGCATTGTCAGACCAAGTAGAAATGCAGGTTTCAAAATCTTCCTTATGTGAAACACTGTTTCTGAGACAGTCTCAGCTCTGATATTTCTGATTTGATTAATAGGGTAGTCTCTTATGTAATCAAATTCCAAATTATTTGGAGTTCGAAGGGAACTCGGGTGAAGCCAGGTTTTTGAGTTGTACTTGGAAGTTTATTTTACTTGTAATTCACAAAATATATGTGAAAGTCAGCTAGCCTTGTTCTATGTTATTTCAAAGTTTAACATCACTTGATTAGCAGTTTGCGGTGTTTTGTGCTAATTGCACATTCTCCATGGCTCAGAGATGTGCATGTACAATAATGACGTGGCCCACAATGAAGAGTCAGTTGCGCTAGTCCTGCTGTGTATAGGCTTTCGGAATGTCTACCTTGGTTACAACTGCTGTCTTAGCATCTGGGATTTCTTGGGCTGTCGTACATCTTCCAGTGTCATCACTTGTTAAAAATAGTTGATCAGCTTCTAGTTGTTGTCTTCAGAATGTATTTTTACAGGTTTTATTAGTAGTAGAGTCTTGATCTTGTGGTACTAAAGTGTAGCAAGAATGGATTAGTTGTACTGGTCTAACTGAAGAATGAAAAATTGTAGATTACATGTTTCGGGAGTGATTGACAGCACAGGCATTATGATTATCTTCAGCTTTCACTGATTTTTCTCCTTCTTCGCTCTCGCCATGAATTATCAAACTAATGTAGGCAGAAGTGGAGTATCAGAACAGAATTCTGAGACTGGCTGTTTGATGCTATTTTGAATTTCACATATCAGGGTGTTGTTACTATAGTGATGGAGGTAGAAGCATGAAGGTATCCATTTGTAAAGCTGGTATTTAAAATTATTTAGAATGTGCTGATACATCAGAAAGATTTGTTGTCCAAGGACCTGAACCAGAAATGGTTGTGTTTCTATGCAGGAATACATAATAAGCTGTTTTAAGCAGCACTAAGAATGTTTAATTTAAGAATTGCATATTGAATTCTTTGTTCTGCCCTTCTTACTTAGGTGTGGTGTTTTTGTTCGGCAAAGTTTGGATTGAATCTGCAAACACCTATGTCAGCTGTTGTGTGACAGTGAAAAATATTGAGAGAACTGTTTATCTACTGCCACGTGAAACAGTAAGTATATCTTTTAAGCATGTCAGACATAAGTACCTTTCATTCTGCTTATGGCAGGTTATGAGTTCTAGCAGTGTGTTTATGGGAACTGTTGAAGCCAGCGTTGTCTGATGTAGGTGGTGAAGTACAAGATGTACATGGTATATCACATGTGAGATGCAGAGTAGAGCATTGCTGCTTCCCCCTGACCCTAATTATCAACTGCAGACAAATTGTTACCTTTTATTTCCTAAGCAGCAAATCTAAGCTGTCTTGAAGTATTACTGGAAAACTTAGTGCTTTTTAAACACTCTGTTTCAAATAATGTTTTTGAAACTTGTGTTTTCTTGGCTGATTGCATTGTCGTTTTCCCTTGAAGAGGTACATGATTCATAACAGTAAAGCAAAATACAACTTATTGGTCATGTCTGCTGGCATTTTTTGTTAATTTGTTTAACAAAATTAATGGGCTTTTTTTACTTCTTTTTTTGAGGAAATTGACCTGTCCACTGGCAAAGAGATGGAGACTCCGGTAACTCTAATGAGTGTTTTCAAGGAATTTAATGACTGCATTTCACCAAAGTATAAGATCATGAAGTTCAAATCCAAGGTTTGTCTACAAGCATCCTATGTGGCCATTTTCTGTTGTTCTGGTTTGTAAGGTGGGAAGTCTGTTCAGTGGGGGAGGTTATGCTCAAGTCCACATATATAGCTCCGGACATGTGTAAGTCTCCTAAAAGCCATTCCAGTGTCTTCCCAAATATGCATACTCCTTTAAGAACAGAACATATGCAATATGATTGTTCCACCAGAAGTTTAAAGATAATGCTTTTGAAAATACTTATTCCTTAGCTTCTTTGAAACTGTGTTGAATGTCAGTCTGTCTGTCTTGCTTGCCGAGCTATTTTTGAGAATACAGAACAGATGAAGTTATGATACCTAAAGCCTGGGTATCAGCTCATGGTGTCAAAGTTTAAAATGAAAGATTCTGTTGTCCAGCAGATAGGTCAGTGCACTGACTATCTTTTCATTTGACTAGGTGTCCTACTGAACTTCATCTCTTGGCATGTTTCATCCTTCTTGTCATTCTTGCAGATTTATCTTTTTAGCATATGTGCTGTTTGGAGCATGGATTGTCATAGTGCGTTTATACAGGAGGTAGCAAGTTGTGAGGACTGTCATCCAGTCTTGAAACTTAAGCTGTTCTGGGCTTACAGTTATGGGCAATAGTCTTAGAGTGTTATTTTGCTGTGTCCTGTTTGCTCAACAAATGCTTAAAAGAACATTGGAAGAGCAAAATGTTGCTATAATGGAAAATTTGCACATAGAGTAATATAATACTTTTCCTGCAGAGTTATGACAAGAGCTGATGTTGCTAATTTGGACTGAATTAGTTGTGAGGAATTTTTCTTGTTCATTTAAATAGAGCATTTGTCTTTTGGCGGGGGGGGTGTGGGGACTTTGTGTGTGTGTGAAAGGTGGCTAACGTGCAAGTTAGAGGAAAAGATTTGTTCAGAATGAAGTGCTCAGAAACTTTTCCATTTCTTGAAGTAAGATGTCATTAGTCTGGCAAAGCTGGCTTTCATTGTAATTACCAGGTGGTGTGGAATTAGTTGTAACTTTTCCCAGGCTGGCAATCTTGTGACTTCGTAGATTTGTTCCTGAGTAGCTGATCAGGAAATAAGATGGCAAGTAAAAATGCGGGAAGAATGGAATTTAACAATAAGTAAATGAGGGGAAAATAAAATCAAGTTCATATGGTAATTTGGGTTGGAAAGACCCTCAAGAGGTCATCTAATTCAAAGCTAAAATACTTCAGAAAGTTCATGTTGTTAAAGTCAAAACGTGAGCAGTGTTTCTCAAATGGCAAATTCATGCAAGAAATGACATTTTTTCAACAACATGTAGCATTATTTACACCATTCAGGGAAAATGCACGCTTCTTTAGGACTTTGTAAAACTTCACTTTTTTCTAACTTATTTTCTTTCAAAGTTCTGGTGCAAATTCAGGTTTTTTCAGTTTTATCAATGTTATTTCTTTTGTATATTTGATTATAACTTAGTTGTTATGTATGGGAATTGGAAAGGAACGAATTTAACAATAGATGAAAAACAAGTTTGTAATAGCTCACTGTTCAAAGGCCCTTTCAGGAATGAGGGAGGCAACTCGGGGCAAATCAGCTCTTCGGTAAAAGAGTGGATACAAACACTTGTACTCCAGAAATGGAAGGAGGGGGAAAGGCCTTTGAAAAGATGCACATCTGCTAACAGAATCTGAGGAAACCTCCACGGCATGCTAAGGTGTGCTGAGGAAGAATAGCGTAAGGTAATGGAGTAATATAGTTTAACCTTCAAAGATGGCTTGTAAAAATCAAGGTAAACCATATGCAGGAAGTATTTGAACTGTTATTTCTGACATTAGTTCAAAGCTGATCAAATTTTACGGAGTTTACATGGAGCCTGGGATGAAAGACCCAACTGTGTTGTCCAGACACGTGACTACCATGCGTCTGGGGTCCTTGGCTGTAACACAGGAGCGATCCCTAGCAGGAATAGGGAAGTAGCAGCACTAAGGCACTGTTCAGATCTTACCTAGAATATTATAACACTTAATCTTTCCTCATCAGGGTGATCAACTCAAGCGATGATAGGTACAAAAGGTGGTAATTGGAAGCATGAGACAAAAGGAGAATCAGTTATACCAGAGATAACTATAAAAGAGCTTTAAATTTTTTTTTAGCCTAGTAAAGTGAAGAATAATGATAAGACTTTTTTATTCTCTAAAAACATTAAAAGGGGATGAGCAGCAAGAAAGCTATTTAAAGGACAGTTTTAGCAAAAGAACAAATTTATAAATTTTAATTCATGAATAAATTAGGCAGGATAGTTGGGTATGCAGAGAAGCTCTGGAATAACCTACCAGAAGTGTTTCCAAACAGGAAGAATTCATATTCTGTTTGAATTTGTCAGACTCTTCAGTAAACTGAATTTTACTAACATGGTAAAAGACTATCCAGCTTTATTTTGCTGGCATAATTTTCCGCTGCTTTTGAAAGTTACTGCCTCCTGGAAGAGTCTAATGAGAATTGGAGCTAGCAGGAGGGTATGGCACTAGTAATGTGGGGGGAAAGAGAAAAGATAGGATTAGAGAGCAGGGCTGTTGATGGGGCCTTTGTAGAACTATTCAAGGCAAGTATTACAGTAACTCAGATATTGCAGCTTAACACAAAATTCACTGTGAACAAGTGGCATAAGCCTGGCCAGGCTTACATCTCTGCAGCAGGGGATCCTTTTGCTGCCTGCAAGATCATTGTGGAAGTATTGGGGTTGTCCCATTACTGTGCCTTCCTTTTCTTTAGTTCCCTTCTGAGATCTCAATTTGCCTGGTTTTATAAGGAGTCATCATCTTTCTTTTCATTGCAGTCAGAGATGTTGTGTTGTTATACAGCCCTGGCATCTGTGTTTCCACAGGCGTGTGCAGGGTTCTCAAATTGAAATGGTGGTGGCACTCAGCTAGCTGAGTGAATGCTCAAAAAAGTGATCTTCACACAGTTGCGACTCTATGTGGTTGAGACCTGATATGCTTTAGAACAACTCCCCTGTTCTGTGATGTGCAGCCAGTGTTCCACTACCGTGTTTTTAAGGGTTGGTGTTTTTGAAAGATTTTTAAATGGCAATATTACTCAGGTGAGCAGAGCACTCCTGAGCAGTGTATTCAGAGTAACAGGAAGTCTGAGTTTTGGCATAGTATTGTGAAACTGAGAAACTTACTATTCCACCATTAGCTGGAAATCAGAAAGGTTACTAACATGCTTGTCAGTAGTGCACCCAAAGTTCTTTTATTCAGAATACCCAGTTTTGTGATGATGCAAAGAGCGCCAGTATTTATACACGGAGACAAGTTGTTCTCTGTGTGTGTGTGCATGTGTGTGTGCATCTTGGCCTTGCCAGTGCCAAACTTTGTCCCTGCGAACAGATACACTTAAGTCATACCATTTCCTCCTGCACCTGCTGCTGATTGTAGCTTCAATGGGTTGCACTGCTGCCAAGTTAGCAAGTCTTCACAAATCAATTTGAAAGCAGCCTTACTCCACTTAGGAACTTAGCAGCTAATCACTGCTGCTCATTTCTGCTCTCTGAAGGGCCACTTGAAGGGCAGATTACTCTGCAGCAAAGCATTCATTCACTGCAGTTATGACCAGAGACGCTTGTGTAATTGAGCTGAGCTCTGTGGAATAACTCGGATGAGTCACTGCAGCATACTATTTTTACACTATGTTCAGCTTGTGTTTGCAACAAGAACTTGTTTGAAGCCTGAGAGGGTTTTTTTAAATTAAAAAAAGAAAAAAGAGGAGTCACCAGTAATATGTGCTTAAAAGCAGTGCATTGCCATCTGTTGTGTTACAGCTATGATGTGCTGCTCCTGTGAGGTGCTGCCTTGGCTCAACAGTTCAGATCTACATTTGTATGCTAATTTGTAATGCTGTTCTGACTTCATAGTGGTGCTCTCATACCCAGTTATATTACTCTTTTCTGCTTCCATGTAGCTGTTCATGCCATAGTTGTTTCTGGATTTGCCTTCTTCCTATTTATAGCAGAGGGCCCTCTCCTCTCCTATGCAGGCTTTCCAGCCTTAAAACTGCAGTGTTATGAGAAGCAGCAAGCATAACTGCTCATTGTAGTGTTCTGAGGGAGCTTGCTGATAGTTGCTGATGCTATTCATTTAAGGAGAAAAACCCAACCACCCAACCCCAAAACCCAATAACTTTGAGTTTACCTAGCTGTGCATATATTTTGTTTATTTGTAAATTTTATTCTAATTTATGGCGACTTTGTTTTTTCTTAATATACCACTAGAGTAAGTTTGATAGGCTGACTCTGTGTATAATGTCCTGAACTTAGTGCACTGTCCAGTGAAAATATGCTTTTTAATTTAAGGGGCCTCTAGGAATTCTTGTAGTAAGAGTAATGTTCTAGCATAGTTATGGCATAACATAATAGCACTAATATATAACAGTGGTGCAGATGGTTTGTGAAGTATTACAGGGCAGAGCGTACATATTACAGTGTAGAGCATGGCATTTCAGCAGGTACCATAGTATTGTTGCACAGGATATTGTAGTTATTTGGAAAATGAAGGTAGTTATTCTTAGAAACTGACAAGCTGTGCATGTTGTGGAAAATCATTATTGTTCTTGAAGAAAGCAGAAGTGATACTTAACTTTAAGTTGTACTGATCTTGAGACTGCTTTAACTATCTTTGTTAGAGATACGTAAACAAACTTGACTACTTTCTAGTAAAACCCAAGTCACTCAAAATGAAAAATAGAATATTGTCATAGAAATTATTCTGTTCTAAGCATGTAATAAAGTAATAGCTGGCAGATGATTGGGAAATCAGCTCTTTTTAGTGCCTCTCTGAAGTGACTGTCCACTAAAGCATTCAATCTAAAAAAGGGAACTGTGTGCAGTTACAGGGCTATGATCTCATTGGGATCATGGACACACGGTGGGATAGGATGTGGTTAAGAAGAACAGGCTGGGATGGTGAGGAGGGAGAGTCCTTTTTACATGTCAGAGCAATGGGAATGCATGGAGCCCTGCCTAAGGATGGGCAAAGAGGCAGTCAAGAGCTTACAGGTCAGGATTAGAGGGCAGACTAATGGAGGTGACATCATGGTGGATAAAGGAAAGCCAAAGCCCACATGGAATTGAGTCTGGTGAGGGAGGCAAAGAGCAGTAGGAAAAGCTTCTGTAGGTACAAGAGGACTAGAGGGAAATGTGTGCCTGCTGCTGAAAGGGGATGTGGTGACAAAGGGCATGGGAAAAGGCCGAGATACTCAATGTTGTCTTCACCTTGGCCTGTACTGCAAAGCCCAGCCTTCATCAATCCCTGACCCCAAGAGACGAGAAGGAAAGCCTGAAGCAAAGAAGACTTGTCCTTAGTGGAGGAGGATGAAGTTAGGGAATATTTAAGCAAATTGGACAGACACAGGTGCATGGCACCTGATGGGATGCACTCATAAGTGAAGAGGGAGCTGGCCAATGTCATTACAAGGCCACACTTGATTATGTTTAAAAGGTCATGTTGATCAGAGGAGGGTTCCTGAGGACTGGAAGAAAGCAAATGTCACTGCTACCCTCAAGATGGGCAAGGAAGAGGAGATTCCAGGGAACTAGAGGCCAGCCTCACCTCAAGCTCTGGGAAAAGGTGATGGAGCAACTGATGGTGAAAACAAGAGATTCCAGGGAACTAGAGGCCAGCCTCACCTCAAGCTCTGGGAAAAGGTGATGGAGCAACTGATGGTGAAAACAATTGTTCTCCAGACACACAAAGCACAAGAAGGTGCTTGGGAGTGTTTGGTGTGGATTTACAAAGTGGAAATCATGCTTAACCAAGCTGGTAGCATTCTGTGAAGAGGTGAGTGGTTTGGTGAACAAGGGCAGAGCAGTGGCTGTTGTTTGTCTTGACTTTGAGGATGCCGTGCAGAGACATATTAAAGCCAAACTGATGAAGTATGGGCTAGGTCAGTGGACAGCGAGGCGGACTGAAGACCGGCTGCACTGCTGGGCTCCAAGGGTTGTGATCAGCAGCACATCATCCAGGTGGAGGCCAGTCCCTAGTGGCATACCCCTGGGGTCAGCACTGGATTCAGTCCTGCTTAGTGTCTGTGTTGATTGCTTGGATGATGGTGCAGAGCACACACTCTGCAAGTCTGCAGACAGTACGAAACCAGGAGGAGTGGCTGATGTACCAGATGACGATGGTGCCATTCAAAGCAACATTGACAGGCTGGAAATGTCTCATTACCTACAGAAATCTCATAAAATTGAAAAAAAGGAAATAGTGAGTCCTGCACCAGGACTGGAATAACCTCAGGCACCAATAGATGCTGGTAGCTGACTGGATGGAAAGCAGCTTTGGAGGGAGAAACCTGGTCATCCTGGTAGACATGAAGTTGGACAAGAGCCAACAAAATACCCTTGCAGGAAAAACGACCATGGGCATCCTGGGCTGCACGAGGCAGAGCACTGCCAGCAGTTTAAGGGACATGGTCCTTCCTCCTTATGCAACCCTGGTGAGACACATGTGGAGTGTTGCATTTAGCTGAGCTCCCCAGTATGAGAAAGACTTGCACATACTGGAGCAAGTCCAGCACAGGACCACAAAGACGATTATAGGGCCTGTCATGTGAGGAGAGGCTGAGAGACCTGAGATTGCTCAATCTGGAGAAGAGCAAGCTCGGGGTGAGGGACTGGGTGGTGCAAATCTTACCGTTGTGTATAAACAACTCTGGCAGTCTCTTCTCATTGGTGCCCAGTGGAGGACAAGAGCAATAGGTACCATTTGAAACACCTGAAATTCACCAGAACATAAACCACTTTTGTACTCTAAGGGAGGTCAGGCACTGGCACAGGTTGCCCAGAGAGGCTCTGGAGTCTCCATCCTTGGAGACATCTCCTTACTGGAAAGGGCCCTGAGCAACCCACTCTAGTTGACCCAGCTCTGAGCAGGCTAGATGATCTCTGAAATGCCTTTCCATCTGAGCCATGTTGTGGTTTTGTGGTGGTCTGGAACCACCAATTCTCATGTCTGAAGCCTGTGAATTTACAGAATGTTTTGGAGTTTCCTTAGCTATTAAGCTTGTATGTTTTTTTGTGTTGTAATGGTTAGTATACTTGTAAGTCAATTCTGTAGAAACTCGTCATGCTAAGAAAACCTAAAGAGATCAAATACAGATACTAAAACATTCTTACTATTTTTAGATGGTTATAATGAGTTGCAGGATTGGTAATATATGATCAAGCATATCGTTTTTGAGATGTATGTTTTGGCTGGCCTTTAGTAGCTTTCTTATTGGACAGAATGAATATTCATTTGGGAGATACTGAAAAAATAATATCTTTGTTTTATATAGAAAGTGGAAAAATATTATGCTTTTGAGATCCCGGATGTTCCAGCAAAATCCGAGTACTTAGAAGTTAAATATTCGGTGAGTATATTTAATTTGATAAAAGACCATAACCTGCTTTCTTACCTAATTAAGAATTTTATGATTTTACCAAAAAAAAAAAAAAAAAGTAGTGTGTAGTTAGTTACTCGTTGTCTTGTAACTAAAAAAAAAGAGGTTAATACCTAAGCTTGTGGCTTTTTTGTTATCATTTGTATGTTGGTTAGTCCTTACCAAAAACAGTTCATTACCAGGTAACCTATAACAAATAGATTTGTTAGTGTTAGCTCTATTTGTGTAGATAAAGCATGAGGGGAAAAAATACTTCCTACAACTACTGCATTCCTCCCACCTTCTCCCCCAATTATAATTTGCTTATTGGTTTACAACAATCTATATTCCCAATTATCCTGCTTTATTTTTTATTGCCACTGAATCAACTAATCAGCCAAACAACCCTTTAGCTGTACTGGATCAGGGCCTGAGGTACTGTAAGATGTTTTAAATTACTTACTACCCTTAAATGTTTTGTTGAATCCATATACAGAATATAGCTGATACCTCTGCTTATATGGCTCTTGCAAATAGCAGCTGAGTGAGAAAGACTTTTGTTGAAGAGCTGTAAAATTGAGTAGCAAAGATGGAAAAAAATTCCCATGAGAACGTCAGTAGCTATTCTTCATTAGCAAAAATACTTGATTTAGTTTCAAATATAAAAGACTCAGCAGTCTTGAACGTGTTGGGTCCGTTGCTAAGCTAATGCCTTTTTAAACCATTTTTATACTAGTTCTAGGTGCAAAAGCAGCATCCCATAGAGATTTGCTAGCTATCTCAAATTTTTCTTTAGCTGTGCAGAACCACTTTATTCAGTCTTTATATGACAGACAAGATTAAAGCTGTTGCTCTCTAAGTTTACAACATGATCAATTTCTGTATTAAAATGGTCATTGAACATTGTTGTAGTCTTGGCTGATGATAATATTTCTGTCATATCCAGTATGGATGAAGAACTTTTGCTTCAGTGCATTTTTACATTACTGTTCTGATTTTGTTATGCACTTAAGTCAAGTCAGTAGTATAATTTCTTCAATTATTGTAAGGTATTATGGGTGAAGGCTTTGCCTGTGGGAAATTACAGTGATTTCAGGAATTGTGTAGCTTTGTTAAGGTGCTGTCTGAATGTAGTGTGTCAGCCTTGAAGACTTCTGTGGGGTGAAATGACGTGCTGCTTTCTGTTACTAGGCTGAATGCCCTCGGCTTCCCCAAGATCTGAAAGGACAAACATTTTCACATGTATTTGGAACTAACACCTCTAGCCTGGAACTTCTCTTGATGAGCAGGAAGATCAAAGGACCATGCTGGCTGGAAATAAAAAATCCACGTATGGTGGTTTCCATGTGAAATACTTGGTTGCTGGAAAACACACATGATTATAGATTGGGGGGAGGAGGGGAAATTTAAATTGTACTGATAAATTATAATTTTGTAAGTTAACTCTGCAATTTATCTCTGTAATTTTCATTATCTAGTACAAATTGTAACTTGTTCTTTTTTGAGCGAGAGCTCTGTCCATATAAAGTTGCACACTGTACAGATGAGTTTATAACTTTGAGTGGCAGTGAGAGGGAACTATGCAGTGCCTAGCAGCTACTCGTTGGTGCATACCCTAAAGCCACGTATACTGAGCTAAAGTTAGTTTCCTGGAAATTTATTTCTCTTTCTTCTCTTGATAACTTAAATTCATGTTTCTTCTGCAAATCTGGCTTTTCAAGAACAAAGCACTGCTAGACTAGATGGCTTTTTCATTTGTGTGTGAGTGATTTTTTTTTTTTTTTTTTTTTTTTCTGGCACTTAGGAAGTTTGTGGTTTGGAGCTTTTTTAGTTTGAAATCCTTCCCACCTCGTGAGTGGCATACACCACTTACAGGTGGTTATGCCACCTTATTTTGGCTTTATTAGAGCCCTTTATTCAATGTGTGCTGCATATTCCCAAGAACGTAGGGAATGTGATCACACTGGACAAAAGCTACATCTATTAGTGCGACCTCCTTGGGGCACTTCGATTGTAGAACTGACAGTGTGAATGCTGACACCAGGAGGATTCTCCTCCTGGGCACCTCACTGAGTCACGTAGAAAGCTGACACCAGTAAGGATTTTGAGCTGGAATAGACAAGACAAATCCCTGACTGTGAGAGGTTTTCCACCAGACACTGGCAAGCATCAGTGTACTTTCTGGCACTGATTTTTAAAGGCCTAAGAGTGGTTTTTCATCTGTACTGTTGCCTAAGAATTGACCTCCTATTTCTTGGGTGTGTTCTTTCTTCACCTGGAAGGAGTCCTCATATCTAATATGACAAATGTTACGGCAGTGATGTCAGTATTCAATTTTACTTACTGCTGATGTGCGTTATCTCCCCTTAGAACTAACTTGCCTGAGCCCAGATACTGATTCCATGCCAGGGTTAAATGGTAATCTAAGGGAGCTCTTTTGTCCCACTCCCACATCTCTATTACAGCCTTCAGGTTCCAGAGAGAGTCTGTAGCTTGATGTCAGAATTGCTCATTTCAAAACTGTGGCATGCCCACTCTGTTGAAAACTGTCTGTTAAGCTGGCTAGTTACATTTATGCAAATTTCTGTAGTCGCTGCACTGGATTTTATGCCCCAAAGCTGGGTTTCTGGGGTTTTGGTTTTTTTTTTTTTTCATTTGTTTCTTTCGGGTTTTTTTTTGCAGTGGGGGCAGACTATGTGTCTAATTTATGAGAAGGTTCTTGCTTTCTTTTGTAGCTTCCCTTCCACACTTCCCGTAGAGGGTCTTAGGGCTAAGAAGTATACCCAAAAGGTTTAGAATAAGCAAGTCTCAAATCATTTGATCAGACTTCTACAACTTCTTCAAAAACTGTTATCGCTATTCATAATGAAGCTGTCCTTGCAGTTCGAGTATCAGTGCTAGATAGCACCAGAGCTTTTCTAGAGCATCCGTCTCTAAACTTGTTAGATTGAATACCCTTGTCAGTAAAAAATTGAGCATGTACCCCCAATATATATATTTATTTATAAATTATATACAGGTACTACTGTACTAATATATTATGTACATTATAAAATAAACACACCAAAAAAATTAGAAAAGGATGAGGTATGTGCAATAAACACTTTTAAAAGTATTTATTTATTAATGGTACAAAAATATTTTCTTCCCACACCCCAATGGATTGTCTTAGGCACCCCACTTTGGAGACCGTTGCTCTGTGGAGTGCTAGTTGAAGCTCTGGGCATTAAGATATTGGAGATCAAAGAAAAAAAGATGTTAGGCAATCAATTTTTAACATCTTTTTTTCTTGTATTCCTTTGGAGAGATCATCAGTGTTTTATAAATGAAGGTATTTTAGTCAGTTACCTGTTTTTGCATTTAGAGCAATGATAATGAGAGCAGGTAAAATATGTGGGTTCCCAGAGAGGGGACAAATAATTTTGCATGGAGTAAGATAGCTAAGTCTACCAACAGCTGTTCCCAAAAGGTTAATCCATCAGAAATGTAACCCTCACTTCTTACTGTGTGTAGTGAGTTATTTCATCAGCATCTTTTGTGAATGATCACTTTTTTTTTTTGGTCTGTAATTCTTCACTTGCTTTAGAAAATTCTCAGATAATAATGGGTGGTAAACATGTTGTCTTTTCTCCATCTATCTATGCATTTTTTAGCTCTTGTACACTTTATGTCTAAATAGCTTTCTGTGGTCTCTTACATTTTAGGATAGGTTATACTACCAGGGTGGGATGAAGTCTCTTATGACATCCCCCATCTCCTTATTTCCATAATTGTGTTTCTGAAGGACTATATCCAAATGAATTAATTATCTGGTGCATTTCAGTCAGTCATATGTTCTTGTTCTCATCTGATCAAAATTCTTTTGGTTAGCACTCTGGCTGTCTTTTCTGCGGCATTTGAGAAATTTCTGAGTATTCCTTCATGTCACTTGGATTAACTTAATTTTTATGAAACCTTCTCCCTTTAGGCTGACTACAAGGTTAGATGCTAAGAGGTGATATATTAATTTAGGTGAAGTTATGCTCACTTGGCTTACACCTTTCTCTACTATGAGCTGCCTGAAATATTTTTTTGCATTATGCATCTTCCTGGCCTCAGTACAAATCTTCCCTCTCTTCTTTGGTGTTAAAGAGCCCCTGGTGTGACTAGGCTTCTGACTGGGGAGTTAGAGCCCAGGGAGTTACCAAAATTGGGCTGGGTTAGCCTGGATCTTGGACTATTCCACGAGGGCAAAACATTAAAAGGCCATGCATGCTCTGTGCAACAATGCCGTTAGAGAAGTCTTACCTGTGGTTCCCAGAAGAATAAAGGTGGTTCATGTTGTTTCCTCAGAGCCTTCAAATCAGCCAGTCAGCTGGTGTAAGGTGGAGGCTGTGGCCATGAAGCCTGGCTTGGTGAACGTGGTTAAAGATCTTTCTTCTCCTCCTCCTCCTCTCGTGGTCATGTCCCTCAGCATGAAGACCACTCAGAACCCAAAGACTCACCAGAATGAGGTAAGTAATCTGCTTTCATTTTGGTTTGGTTTTGTTCTTTGGCGTATACTAAAAACTTTCTATGGCTTGGAAGAACTTCATCTGATAAAACATGTCTAAATACATTTACTGTTGAATAAAATTCCTGTGCTGCGGGCTTTTCAAAGAAATTTTTACTGGGGTCTCACCAGCCTGAAAACTGTGGGTTCAGGGGGCCTGTTTGGTGATAACATTTACCGCAACAGTGGATCCTACATATCTTTTCAAGCCTCTGTTTTGTCTGTTGTGCATAATAGTTGTGCATAAATGAAACTGTCCCAGAACAGCTGTTAATGGATTTTTTTTTTTTTGTTGGTAGAGCTAATCATAGTTCCTAGGTAAAATGACTGGTTTTTTTATGCTGATAAAAGTAATTTTGAAATAGAATGAGAGTTTGATCTAAATCTTATAGCGTCTACTATTCTGCTGTGACATCTTTCCTTTTCACAGAAAGGAGGAGAGATGTAGGTGGCCACTCTCAGTTGTGGACTGCAGACCACAACACGTAGTTAGACATGTTTATGTGTTTTTTAACTTCAGTCTCCCTAGCTTAGGAAGAGATTTGGTATTCACTGGTAGGATAGGTTAGTTGTTTCTGGATAATTGAATGGAAGAAAAATTAGGCTGACAATTTTTTCAAGCAGGATTAGTCCTCTTGGTGAAGTTAAAATTTTTTTTGTGGGGGGAGTATGGAAAATTCTTGGTTTCTACCCAACGTAATGAGACATACACCAGGTACCAACAGGACTCTGCTTGCTAAGATGCTTCTAAAGCCTGTCTGCTTTGTCTTATGTTGGGTTTTCCTGATCAGTGTCTGGGGAGCCAGGATGTCCTGCCAGCAAAGCAAGCGGAAGCATCCGTAAAGCAATAGCTTCCAAACGCTAAAACCTCTTGGCTTCTTGGCATTCTTGATTGTTTGCTCACAGGCAGCCCTTCCAGAGGCAAGGCTTCTGCATGTCCTGCCCTGCTCATATCTCCCCTGCACTTCATAGGGAGTCCTTTAAACTGTGGGGTCTGTTCAGATTCAGAACAAAATTTGATAAAAGCAGCGTTTTCCAAAATGAATTATTTTTCCTCTCAAATTTCTAAGTTAATGATTTAGAAGTAAGTTCTGCTTAATTTTACTTGAGATCAGTTGATAACTTTTCTTCTTTTTAACTACTTATAGTTGGAATTCAGTTTAAAAAGATCTTTTGTAGAAACAAGAGAAAAGAAATGAGGGAACCTAAAAAGAAAAAAAAGGGGAGGCTGGGAAGAAATGCGTGTTGATAGCAGTTATGTTTATGAAGTTGTGTGCTCTGTATCTCCTTGGTATAGATTGTGGCTGTTGCAGCTCTGATTCATCAGAAGTTTCCTTTGGATAAGGCTCCACCTCAGCCTCCTTTTCAGACACACTTCTGTGGTATGTACTTGGAACAGTTTATGAGTAGAAAAAGAATTCTTTTGGAGTTTTTCTTTTGTTGTGTTTTTTGGTGTGGTCTTTTTTTTTCTTTCATTCTATCACTCCAGCAATAATGGCTTAGTATAGGTAAGCGACAAAGTTTTAATTCCCAGGCAAGCTTTTTCCCCTATTTTTAACTTCACTGGTTACTGACTTTTTATTGTAGACTTTATTGAAAATATCTATACAGTTTCCTATCATTTGTATTGCTTTCACTTCATCATGTGTTCTCTTGGATTACTTTCTTCACCCATTAATTTAGACCACTTATTTACTGTCACTTGTTTATTTTTTTAATTCTCTTGAGAAGAACTGAAAAATAACTATCACATTTATTTATAAACAAGTTTTCTCAGGGGAAAAAAAAAAAAACTCTTGCAACAGTGTCATTATAGTAAGATAGATCAGCTAAACCTTGAGATTCAGACCCCAATCAGAAGTCTGAAGAGTGTTGAATGCTTGTGAGAGAAAGTTCTTCGGAAGTTGTGGACCATAGTTCTAATCTCCAATGGTAACCTCAAATATGACTGATTAGAATTGTTTAATACTTTACTAATTACTTGGTTATTTCAAAGGTAAGTATTCACATAAGGCTAGCTTTTTAGAATTAGAGGTTAGTTTACCTTAGCTCCCTTTGTTGTCAATGGATCCTTATGGGGAGGGTACAATTAAGAACATGTATATAAGAACAAATATGATTTCTTTTGCAGTTGTTTCCAAACCGAATGATTGCATTTTTCCTTATGACTTCAAAGAAGCTATTAAAAAGAAGGTAATTTCATTTGGTTAGCCTTCTAGTTGCAGTACCTTTTAAAATATGATCTTAATGTTGCTTTGGGTGAGTTGTGTAAGAGAGATAGTCAAAGGAATGGCATGATTATTTCATTAGTTTTCTACTCTGCAAACCTAAATCCAGGTATTTATTCTGTGTTGCTTGTAAAAACAGGTGTGTACTCTGATTCAGTACTGCTGCTAGTTGTGGTCATGAAACAGACAGACCATTAGACAAGAGTTGGAAAGGTTTTGCAAAAAGGCTAAAATAGTGATTTGTTTTCATTATACCTGACTATGTACTTGTCTGGGAGAATTTGTTTCTTCTTTCCTTGGAGAGTAGAGTCTGTCAAAATTTAGAAGACATCCTTTCTAAAGGGCACTGGGAGAGCTGACAGAATAATAAAGTAACCTATTTTTGTTTTGCCTGTCTTTCTGTGTGATCTTAAGCCTGTGAGTGAAGGATGCACATGGAGGATTTTCCTGGTGTGCTTGATTCTTAGGAGGCTCTCAAAATATCACTAGACACCTGCATACAAAAGCAAAATGGAAAAAAGCCTCTGAGAAAAGCTTTCTATGTCTATGGGAGTGAGAACAAAAAGCCTTGAATTATAGAAGGAAAGGGAGAACTCTGTGGTGCTTTATTATTGTCTTTTACTATTGTCTAGTAGGGGAGAGGAGATGTTTCCATTTTAAACTTATTGGGTCATTGAAATCAGGTGCTCTCTTGCTCCTTTTAGAATGCTAAAATAGAAATTGCTGCAACAGAGAGAACACTGCTGGGATTTTTCCTTGCGAAGATTCACAAGATTGACCCAGATGTTGTTGTGGTGAGTAGTTCTGAGACTTTCAGAGTTAAAGCATATTGTCAGTTGGTCAGCTTTGTTCTTTTTCTTTTGTCCCCTTATACGTTTTTAAATGTTTATCTTAGACTGCCTTATGAATTGAATTTGCTTATAAGACAGCAGGTATGCTTTGATACAAAGATGATAGAGAATTTTCCCTGACAGCATTTTATACATCCTTTTATTTCCCATAGTATCTGAAATAGGCAGTATTTCTTAGTACCTGAAACAAGTTGGTTTTTTTTTTCTTCACTGAGAAAGACAAAACACAACCAAAAAACCTCCTTGTGATTGTCTAGAAAAATGGGTACTCTTGGGATACTTAAGAGTGTTTCAGTTCAGATGCTCATATAATTTGTGTTACCATTTAGATTGTGTTTATGCTGTAAATCAAAATGATAACCTATGCAAATCCATGGGATCTGAGCAAAGTTTTGTAGCAAGCATTCTTATATTTTTCTACTGTATTGGCAGCTGAGGATTTATTATAGTTACTAATTTTCTTTTTTTGTTATGTTTAATTAACGTACAGTCCTGACTTTCATTTAATGAAATTTTGAAGACAGTTTGAAGTTGGTTATAAATCTGAGGTTGGTTATATACAATTTGTTCTTCTTCAGGTAAATACAAATAATTAAGTGGTGGGAATAGGATGAAATGAGCAGTCAGATTTCTGATGTTTTCAGCTCACTGCTGCTGATATCTGGTATTTGCCCTACCAGCTGAGCTTCCTAGTGGTTATGGGCAGGAATCAGGGTGAACACTGCAGCCAGTGGTTTTAAATCAAAGATGCCGGTAGCAGGGTTGTGAGAGCTCTGATCCTAAAAACATCAGAGCTGTGTTAGTGCAGTTGAATTTGCACCTGTGTGGTGGGTTGACCCTGGCTGGACACCAGGTGCCCACCAAAGCTTCTCTATCACTCCCCTTCTCAGCTGGACAGGGGAGAGAAAATACAATGAAAGGCTCGTGGGTCAAGACAGGGACAGGGAGAGATCACTCAGCAATTACCATCATGGGCAAAACAGACTCAACTTGGGGAAATTACTTCAATTTATTACCAACCAAATCACAGCAGGATGATGAGAAATAAAACCAAATCTTAAAACACCTTCCCCCCACCCCTCCCTTCTTCCCAGGCTCAACTTCACTCCCGATTTTCACTACCTTCTCTCCCACATCCAGCAGCACAGGGGGACAGGGAATGGGGGTTGTGGTCAGTTCATCCCATGTTGTGTGTGATGCTCCTTCCGCCTCAGGTAGAAGACTCCTCACACTCTGCACCTGCTCCAGCATGGGGTCCCTCCCATGGGAGACAGTCCTCCATGAACTTCTCCAACATGAGTCCCTGCCACAGGGTGCAGTTCTTCACACACTGCTCCAGTCTGGGTCCCTCCATGGGGTGCCGTCCTTCAGGAACAGACTGCTCTAGCCTGGGTCCCTCATGGGGTCCCAAGTCCTGCCAGCAAACCTGCTCCAGCCGGGGCTCCTCTCTCCACGGGGCCACAGGCCCTGCCAGGAGCCTGCTCCAGCACGGGCTGCCCATGGGGTCACAGCCTCCTTTGGGCATCCCCCTGCTCCAGCGTAGGGTCCTCTCCGGGCTGCAGGTGGAGATCTGCTGCCCTGTGGAGCTCCATGGCTGCAGGGGCACAGCCGGCCTCACCATGGGCTTCCCCGGGGGCTGCCAGGGAACCTCTGCTCCGGCACCTGGAGCACCTCCTGCCCCTCCTGCTGCTCTGACCGGGGGGTCTGCAGAGCTGTTGCTCTCACACATTCTCACTCCTCTCTCTGGCTGCAACTGCTGTTGCAGTTTTTTCCCCTTCTAAAACGTTACCCCAGAGCCGCATCGTGGACTAGCTCATCCTAGGCCAGCAGCAGGTCTGTCTTCTAGCAGCTTCTTACAGAAGCCACCCCTGCAGCCCCCACCCTGCTACCAAAATCTTGCCACGGAAACCCAGTACAACCTGGTTTAATTAGTGCTGTTGGAAAAACAGGCTGTATCAATACAGGTGAGACCCCTCTACTGTGGCTGTAATGCTACTTATGATTTAAAGGAGCTGCTTGTGTAGCGCGGGATTGTGCTATGCAGATGTATCTGATGTGGTGAACCTGCAGTTCCTGGTGGCTGGTCCACATAGTCACGTTCATCAGGGCGTTTTGCTTTCAGCTTGAGGTTACAGACCAAGGTCATCAATGTCCTTAGCATTGTTTAAACTTTGCAAATATTGCTGGAGTACTTTGATATGTAAATATTGGTTGCAAGGTCTTCCTGTCTAGATTTAACAGCTATGTCTGCTGTAGTATCAAAGGAAAAAAAGTACATTGTTTTCATGTCAATATTGAGACTTTCATGGATGGAGAGAAAAGGAATTCTTCATAGCTAAGTTTATATGCTGTATAAGGAATGTTTTGGGTTTTTTTTTTTAGAAAGCTTTAAATCCTAATCTCTGGTGTCAAAGCATAAAGGTGAATCATGTGTGCTCTGTGAGACAGTTAGAGCTGATTTTGGTACTCTGCTGAACAGCATTGTTAGTGTTAAGACTAATGAGTATTGTTAATGAATGTTCTCTTAGTGCTTTCTATGAGAGAGATAATGCCATCAATTAGTTGGGGGGAAAAAAAACACGAAGGGCAAAGGAATACTGAGTGTGTGAAAGTCTTTCAATTTGCTTTTGTTGTAACCTTTTTTGTTATTTTTTCTGCTGCAAGGGTCATAATATTTATGGATTTGATCTGGAAGTGCTGCTTCAAAGAATTAATGTGTCCAAAGTCCCTCACTGGTCCAAGATAGGTCGACTGAGGAGGTCCAATATGCCAAAGCTTGGGGTAATAAGATTTCTCAAGTCTTTTAAGCCCCTTTATGTTGTGTGTGATTAAAAAGGAATTAATTTTGCTGAGGTATTGTAAATGTGACACTGATGTATTTTGACTGTTGGTCATGCTGGGTTTCATATGTCCCAGATCAGAAATGGTAAGTGTTTATATGACTTTTATTACAGAAATAAGCTAAACTAATTTTCAAGTTGGGCTAATTTAGTTTATGTATCTCAACCAGATGATGGTAATGACAGATTAATTACAGTAGTCTTTACTGTACCAGTCTTTGTTTGCTATAACTGTAAAATGAGAAAATGTAATTTTGGTTGATTGGTGAATCATCCCATAGAGAGCTGCTAAGTTAAGAATTCTGTAGTTCTTAGTATGTATTTGTTCAGAGGACAATGTGTGAGGCTTGGAGTGCTGAAGTGCTGAACGTGGCAGTGTTTTTTGCCTGTTCCTGTCCAGCCTAGAGGCCACGATGAGTATTTGTGTGTGGTTTGTTCTGTGACTTTTTCGTCCTGCTGTTAGTACAAAGAATGTCCTTGGAGGAAAAACAAAATACACACCCATGTTCTTGCTGGGACTATTCTGATTATTAAAGGTAAAAAAAAAAAAAACATGATAGTTTAAGAATTAAGATCTAACTGAAAGATACCATGGATTCCTTTGAGGCATAATTATAAAGTTGGAGTATTAGAGTATTTAATGACCAACTGACTTGACTGAGTCTTATAAACATCTGTTTTGGCTGGATGTTCTTTGTTAATGTTTGTGTGTTTCATTTTGTTTGAGCTTTTTTCTCTCCTTCTGTGATACGGTTAAGGGTCGAGGAGGGTTTGCTGAAAGGAATGCTGCCTGCGGTCGAATGATCTGTGATGTAGAAATTTCTGCTAAAGAATTAATTCGTTGCAAAAGTTACCATTTGTCTGAACTGGTCCGTCAGATTTTGAAAACAGAGAGGATAACAATTCTACCAGAGGAAATTCGAAATACGTACAGGTATGTTGCTGATATGTGTTCTTAATCCTTCACTAGAAAGTAGAGGAGCTAGTTTCCCGGTATACAATTTTATGCTTGCTTATTTGATTTGTCGTGGAGATGCTGACTTAGCATACTGGTATTTGAAAAATAGAATATGTATTTATATTATTTATATATGATATTTATATAGTATATAATGTAGTTAATACAATATAATATTTAATATAATATATTTATATTCATAATATAACAGTATTTTATAATGCTTCAAGCTGCTGGTGGGTGGTGGCTTATTATGTCAGAAGAAAACTTATTTGTGAGAGCATTGGTTTAGATACGTTAATAGGATATGCAAGCTTGAGTTTTGGGTTGGTTTTTTTTGTGGTTTTTGTTTTTTTTTTTTCCAATTAAATGAGCTTGCTATATAATTAAACACTGGTGTGCTACAGGTACCTCGTCTTCCATACAGCATATAGGTCTAAACTACTGCAGAGTACAAAGTAGGCTGATTTTACTTTACTAGTCCATCCCCCTTCTTTCCCCAGTGAGTCTCCTCACTTAATGTTCATGCTGGAAAACACCTGGACAGATGCCAAGTTCATTCTCCAGATCATGTGTGAGCTGAATGTTCTGCCACTGGCCCTTCAAATAACAAACATCTCTGGCAATGTCATGGTACATTTTTATTACTTCCCCCCTGCTCCATTGTCCCACAAGAACAATTTCATGTTTTCTGTGTTTGATTTGCTAGTTTTAATTTGTGAACACTAATTGAGAGTATACGATGCTGTAAATTTTTTGCTGTGATAAGTGTGAGAGTTTGACAATCTAGTCAAGTAATAATGTGCAACTTTCATGAAAATACTGCATTTGAGTTTTGTGCATGGTGATGATACAGAATAATAGTAATGCTAGGTGAACTTCTAAATAGTTAAAGGATGTTGCGTAGTATATTTTTGTATGTCAGTGTTTTCTATGCTCTACTTTGAATTCTTCTTTTGCTCCTCTCTGTAGTCGAGGACAATGATGGGTGGGCGATCTGAACGTAATGAGTTCTTGCTACTTCACGCATTTCATGAAAAAGACTACATAGTGCCGGACAAACAAGTTTTTAAAAAGCCTCCACAGAAGCTGGTGGGTTCAGTTTTTCTCTTTCCAAGAATTTTTATTAAAAAGAAAAAAAAATTCTTCTCTCTTCTGCGTATTACTGTTCTGTGAGAGCACAGAAAACCCAAACATAGCCAGTTTTAGATATAATTCAATGTTACAGTTTATGCTTAATTCAAATTTTTTTTATTGAGTTGATAGTGGAGACATGTATGGTTTAAAGGGACAGTGTAACACCTTTTCCATTGTATCACAGATCTGTGGAAACTAAATTGCTCTTTCAGTTTAAAATTGAAATAAGCTAAGTACTTGGCTGTGTGGGGAAATAGTGAAGATGAAGAGAGTCTGTGTTGCTTAATAGATGCACATTTGCCGTACGGTTATTTTCCTCATGAACAGTATTTCAAGTATAATTTGTAAGGTGGGTGATTTGAGAATGTGGGTAAAATATCCAAGGGTATTAAATAAAAAATTCCCCTGGGTAATAACAGTTTAAATATATTTTTAGAGACATCTATATGTTTGTTAGTAAACAAGTTAAGATTTGAGAATGTATTTGTATTTCAATATATATTGCTTTTCAGTTTTACTTTTAAATAAGTTCAACAGCAAATTCCAAAGCAGTAAGTTCTGCTGATTGTATTGTTGCATCAAAACAGTGCCGAAATTTTAAATGATTCAGAATAGCATTGGACAACTGGGAGAAAAATTCTTACTACAACAAAACAAATAACAAAATACTCTTTAGGTCAGTAATTGTATTTTTGTTTCATTAAAGCCCAGCCATTATATTTCCAAAAGCTACATTTTAATTGGGCAGTAATAATTCTGGGCCATGAGTTGATTTTTTTCATAATTTCTTAAGGTCTTTTTGATCTCTTGTTGGCAGTTTGTTCCTATAGGAGTTGGTTTGAATGCTGTTTTGACATGTAGAGAGCTTTAATAAGGATCACGATGAAAACACCATGTTTTGCATGTAATTTAAAAGGAACTCTATGCACTGGCTCCCAATTTCATATTTGATTTGCCAAAAATAACTCCTTCAGCAGTATAGAAATCTTGGAGACTAGATAATGACTTTTTTAAATGCCAAATGTAGGTGGATGAAGATGAAGATTTTGAAGATCAGAATAAATCAAAGATAGGGAAAAAGAAAGCAGCATATGCTGGGGGCTTAGTCTTGGATCCCAAAGTCGGTAAGATGTGGCAATTTTCTCTCTTCCATGAAGTTAGAGACAGGTACGTTATATTAATCCCGATAGATCGCAATGAGCACCGCCTGTGTCTTGGGGGAGTTTGTTGTTGCATGCAAGAAATTACTTATTATTGGGACGGGTTTTTTTCTTAGCTTTTTGTGAGACGATTATGGTCTTGCAAGGAGTTAGGACTATATCTGTGTATAGTTTTTTTTAATGGACACGTAAGTTTTCTTTCAGTTTCTCCTCTATGTGGGGAAAACTGTACAAGTGTCCTATAGTAACACAGAAGCTATCTGTTCAACTCTGGTGAGTTAATGGGGTTGGATCGTTCCACTTCTGACAGCTTTCTATAATGGGTAGTGGTGCATCTCAACAACTACTTTAAGGGAAGTATGGTACAATGTATTACTGTCACTTAAATATTAATTGTGGAGTTGGATGGCGTCCTTAGGGAGACTGAGTAATTATGACTTTTGTTTTAAACTCTGTTTTAGGTTTTTATGACAAGTTTATTTTGCTTCTCGACTTCAACAGCTTGTACCCATCGATTATCCAGGAGTTTAACATCTGCTTTACTACAGTGCAGAGGCTGTCATCAGAAGCACAAAAAAGGGCAGAGGTTTGTGTGCTTTAACTTGTGACTTAATGTACACTGTCTTAACTTCGGTGTGTTTTCTGTGAATCAGCTTGTTAAGAAACTGTTCTTTTCACCAAACTTTAATGTTTGGGGTTTTTTTTCCCTCTCTTACACTTAAAAAAAGTGATTCTTGTTTAAAGATGCATCATATTAAGTTTTGGGTTGGGACTTTCTGAATGTTATATGTCTGTCATCTTCCTTTCAGTAATAATTCTTACAGAATCTTGGTGAGTTCTCACCCATCTAAATAAAATCTTGGTATCCTCATGAAACAAGACTTTCAATGAGGGTCTGTTGTCGCTTTTCAGCCCTAGGTGGTCCTAGCAATTTCTGAGCCCCTTAACCAATTTCATCCTAACTTAGTAGAGGCTTCTTAAAGTTAAGTTGCCACAGAATTCATGCAAATATACCTGAATGAGGGAGACACAAGTCTCATGCTGCTGCTGCCTGGGGGAAAGAATGCAATATGAGCTCAACCCTTATTAGACATCAGGAAAACTATCTGTGTGTCTTGGGGGTGAGTGTCAGGGCGTGATACTGTGACTGTCAGCTGTGGAGCCAGCTTCATGGAAATTCATGCTGTTTAATACAACATTAAACTGTATTAAGCACAACTGAAAAACCTCCTGAAGGTGTAGTTCCACATACTGTTTTCTCAGCAGCTGTGTTGGCCATGGCTTATCTGTGGCTGCTTATTCTCATTTCCTCAGCTGTGCTGGTACAGTTCTTGGTGGAGCTGTGCTGTAAACTGAAGCAGTGAGCTGGTCAGGTCTGAGGCTTTTATTTTTAACTGGTGTCAGCTCACAGGTTGGAATTAGTGTGTTGTGAATAAGTAGTTATGGGACGTAGTTAGTTCCATAACAACCGAAATACCAGGACTATAGCAGAAATGAGGAAAAAAGTATATGGAACTCTGTCAGTAAGTTCCTCCAAACCCTCTGTGGATTTACCCTGCTTTCTTAAATGTGCTTCAAACTGAAGCAGCTCATTCTGTTTTCTATCATGGTATGATATTTAATCAGGTTTTGGTGTCATTTCTTGTTATGGTTCTTCCCAGACTGCTTTACTAAACTTGCCAACTTCATAGTGTCTCTAATCGCCCTTTCTTTGTCTCTTTCATTGTGCTTGAAATTTCTTTCCATTTTTGCTGCGCAACCATTTCTTCGGTTACGCTAACAAGAAGAATGTGTGCTTTCTGTTAGGTTGCTGTTTTGCTATAATCAAGAGTTGCTTGGGGTGGAGTTTTCATTCTGTTGCGGTTGTTGATTTTTCCTTTGTCAGTTATCTTATTCAAGTATCAGTTCCACAGACCATGTGCTCCATTTTACAGTTCTGAACATCAGAAATACTTATGCAATAATTAAAAAAAAGTTATTTTTCAGCACAGAAATAATTGCTTGTGTGTGTGCTTTTCTTTATATTTTTATTTCTACCTATATATACCTAAGAGAGAGTAGGTGTATTTCATTTACCTGGATATATATATATCCACAGGTACATATTTTATATATATTTCAAAATACACACGCATACATTAAAAAAAATCTTCCTGCTACTGGTCTGTGTCTCTCTTGGGTTTCTCCCAGGCAGAGATAGGCTTAGTCCCTGTTCCCCAGTGGAGACTAAGTAATATAGTTAAATACCACAAAAAAGCTTCTCATGCTGCTTGTTCTAAACTGTGCCTTGGGTACTGTGCAGGAGTAAATACAAGCTGTGTGGTTTTGTGGGTTTTTTTCCCAAGGTTTTCACTTAACACATTAAAATCTAAGCAAAGAAATGATAAGCAGTGGTGATCATTTGACAGGTTGAAGAAGAGGAAGAAATTCCAGAGCTTCCGGACCCATCTCTGGAAATGGGAGTTTTGCCTAAAGAAATCAGGAAACTGGTGGAGAGAAGGCGCCAAGTTAAGCAGTTAATGAAACAGCCAGATTTAAATCCTGACCTTTATTTACAGGTGTGTTTTACAGAGCTCCTTTGATTTTCCTCCCACTCCCCTTAAGTGCCCTGATCAGCCTTGCAGAATAGGGATGATTAGTAGTAAGCAGTGATTGTAATGTTCTTTACTTGTAGCCTGTCGTTGCTGCAGACTATATAAAAAGCTGTGAGTGTAATTGTGAACATTAAGTTATGTTCTCTGTTGGCTATGGTTATATCATTTTTGCTGGTTATGTTTCTTTTCAGTATGATATCAGACAGAAAGCTTTGAAGCTCACTGCTAACAGTATGTATGGCTGCCTGGGATTTTCCTACAGCAGATTCTATGCCAAGCCCTTGGCTGCTTTGGTGACTCATAAAGGGAGAGAGGTAAGTCATTAAACAGGTTATACACACATGTAAAAAGGGTGAATTTAAGTCACCTACTTTTTCATTGAATAGGAAAATGGTCTTGTTTTCAAACCTGCTTTTGTTTTCAGAACTGTAGTTTTTATTGTTCTTGTACTGCAGACATTGGAAAAAAATGAAACTGGAGTCCAGAAAAGAATCAAATGTCTCAAAAATTTTGAACTGAACTGCATAGTTTCAGTGGGCCAGATTATGGTGACAAAAAAAATCAAGGCTGCTTTCACATTTTCCATGAATTTGCAGTTCTGCTTGATGGATTAGTCTTTGATTCAGTGGTATGCTTCAGCTTTGGATGAGCTTGTCTTTGGCCAGTCTGTCCTGTGCCCTGGTCCTGAGTTCCTGAAACCCTAAAGTTTGTGACAGGGCTAATTAATCACATAGTGACAGTGGATTATGTATCAGGGCCTTATTTTCAGAAACTGTTCCTTAAAGTGGAGCTTTGCATTACCCTCAGGAGGCCAGATTTTGAGAGTTGCTTTTAACTTTATAGGCAAAACTACTTTTGCTGTTGGATAGAATGGCAGCTGAATGCAGACCACATCAGTTTGGTCCCAGTGGGAAAAATAATCGTAAAAGATCCAAAATGTACCACTGATATACAGCGTCTTAGAACACATTTTTTCATGACACTTCATCTTAGTTCTTTATTGAAGAGAATACCAAGCAGGAATCTGCAAAGGTGTGAGGAACAGACATGACAGGACGGCTGGTCAACATTTAGTTGAGCAAGGAGATGGATGAGTTCTTGTCTGTTTAGAGGCACATACTTCCTGTGACGTCAGGGCACAGCTCTCCTTGCTGTGGACCACCCAATGCACTGAAAGTCCATTTACAACCCCCAACTGATGTGCATAGGGGCATTTTGTTTCCAATACCACATATTTGTTTTTAAAAGTATTCCCTTCTAAACAGTTCTGTAGAGATAACCCCACGTTTGCTGTCCTCCCAATTGATATAACCAGTATGTTTAACCTTACGCACGTGTTTAACTAGGAAAACATTTCCAGGTTTGACAACTGTAAGTGTGCTATTCATCTGTGTGAATTAAAAAGTTGATGTTTCCTTTAAGGAAGTGGTATCTTTTTTTGTTTTAAGATTCTGATGTATTTCTCTACAAGGTTGACATGAAAAGCAGCTGAGTATCATAGCTTTATGTTTTCTAGCAGTATTTTACAAATAATGAGCTTAACTTTTGGGGGTTTTTTATGATCTCCATTAGTCATATGGAGCACCTGTCACAAACTGGATATTGTATGGGTACTTGAGCTTTTGGGCTCTGTTAAGGGGGGGAAAATACTTTTTGTTTGCACATAGAGTTTATTCCAATTGTCTGTGACTTACCTGTTATGAGGTAATGGTGCATGAAATTCTGGTGTTCCTGCATTATGTTCCAAAGTGATGGTGGAATGGGAAAAACCTAAACAGGTGGTACAGGATGTGTTAGGGAGCATTTTGAGACACTTTGTCTTACATAGTTGATTTTTGATTGGAAAGGATTTCTTACCTCTTAAATTCTGGTGGTGCTAGACCTGGGCTTGCATCTGCCAAGCCTTTGCACACATTTGAATCTCCAGTTTTGTAGTTGCTCTGAGTTTGGGGAAAAAGTTAATACCTATGGCACAGTGTTGCCTGAAAGTGTGTTGTACCCACTGCAGGTCTAAAAGTTCCTCTATGAAATGGGGCTGCTGGAAGCACAGCAGAGAGGTGCCAAGGAAAGTCTGTGGGAGCTGGGCTGCATCTGGCAGCACCAGTGCTGAACTCAGTGGGGCATTAACTGTCTTGGTAGGTCTCTTCCGTGCAGTACAGCACCTCCTGTAGAGCTAAAACTATCTCCCCCCGCCCCCATTCCCTGGGGTAGATTAGTATTCATTACTCTGGATACTGTGGAGAAGACAAACTTTTGAAAATTTGAGAGTTTTTCAGGATGATCTGTAATTTTGTGCTTCTGTGTAAAGTATGATAGAGTCTGATGAAATACACTGTATATGCTGTGTTTTGAAAACTTGCATTTTTAGGTAGGTAGTCAATAAACACATAAAGCTCTATTAGTTCCTTATTTCTTGAATAGTAGTTTTTGCCAGAAAAGATGACACAAGAGGACACCTTAGTTTTCTGGATTTTTTTAAGTTGAAATATTTAGTCTGGAAAAATACTACTTTAAAATTTTACATTAGTCTTTCTGTTCATAGGTTTCCTCTTACCACTAAATGCTAATATAAAAGAGGTGGATGTTAAATATCGGGAGATTTGGGTTCTCTATATGAAAATGTTAATTAAAAGATAACTATTACTGAAAAATATTACTGGTCTAAATTTAAATGACGTTTTCTGATGACCAGTAATTGATACCTTTTTTTTTGTTTGTTTTTTTACTGTTGTGGAGGGGACATGAGTAAACGCAGGTAGGCTTGTAGATGTCTAAGCAGGAGAAATACTGTGTGGGATGAAACCCTAGTATTTGCGCTAACACAATTACAGCTCAATCGTAAGTCTTAGAATAATTGGAAGTGGGAAATATATATTTCAAGTTGAAGAATTTCTTGAAGCTCATTATAGCATTAAGTTTTAACATAGCTGAGAGAAAATCAGTTTTCATGACTTCTGTAAATTGCTGCTTTCTAATTGTGTGACTGAAGACCTTTTCACTGAAGCTGTAGGAAGACTGAGTACTGCAAGCGTCTGACGCCGAGTGCTATGTACTACCTCTCGTGGGCTGTAACTTCTCTTCGTGGTTTGGCGATGCCAATGCACTAAAAGTAGTGGAGCTGCCATGGCGTTCCTTATGGTGACTAAAAATTCTTGTAATTAAATGGCAATCTGTAAAAAGCTTGTTTATAGCTGTGCTAGTGTTTGACATGTTCGCTTCACTTTGGCAGAAGTATTTAATATGATGTGGAAAGGCCATTTATAAAGCCAGATCATAGTGCTAGGACAGAGTGCAATCTGTAAGAGCTCCGTTCTCTTCAGTCAGCTCTCGCGAGATAGGCGCCAGTACTTCGCCTTTTTTGACCTTAAGATGTGCAGTAGAAACGTAGCAAAGCCTTACAACTCCGCTGTATGGAGGCTGGGTCCAGCAGAGATTAGCGTGTGGCGTTCCAGGGAACGAGGCGTAATTTATGTGGCTGGTGTAGTCGTGGTAGTGAGTGTTCAGTAGATGGCGATAGAGACCTTGAGATCATTAATCAATTAAGACTTTCATTTTGGTCACAGTGTTTTAGACGTTGACTATAATTAGTTGACTGTATGTAGTATAGACTCGTTTTTCAAACGGGTCTTCCTTGTTTATTTTTTCAGTTGGGGGTAATCGCTAGCAGGGAAGATGGGGAATAGCAGTGTGATTTTGTCAGAATTTAGTGTATTGTATATCACAGGCAGACTGATTAAAAGTTTTGGTGTATTTTGGAAGAAAAAAAGGGCAAAAATTTGGGGTGGGAGAGAGTTAAAACTATAGCTCAGATCTTCCTGACCTTTTTGGAAAATGTAATGTTTTCCTGTTTTTAACATTAGAAATGCATCATTTCTTGTTCTTATAACAAATTAAAAAAAAAATTCTTTCTGCATTTGCAATACAAATGTTACATTATTGACCTGGAATGTGTTAAAAGGATTCCTGGACACTCCCCACACCCCCTGTGTTACTAAGCATTTGCTTGCATTGCTCTTGTTGTAACTACAGCAGTTGCTTGCATGGAAAAGTAATAGGAAAATATTTAATGTATTTTTAGCTGTCCTTTAATGTAATTTAACAACTGGAAACAAGATGAGTTGGTGTTGTACAACCAGCCAGCTCTGCACTAGCAGGCACTGTAAGGTCATGCCTTTCTAGCTTCTTTAAAGGACAAGTCTTTTGATGAAGTGTCAGTTGTCTGATTTCTCAAATGCAGGATTCCCTCTGCTGTCTTGTAGGAAAATCCTGCAGCAAAGTTGTTGAGAGAATTTTATCTGTAGGCAGCTTGGTTGGTAATGGCTGTCACTCAAAGCTGAGGCCTTTTCCAGGCACTTGCTTTTTTCCATGTTGTTTTTTATTGTTGCATATTTTTGCCCAAGCAGGTAGAAAACTTGCCTTTGAAAGGAAGAAGAACATATTTGCTGTTTGCAGCAGTATTAACAGGTAGATCTAGTGTTACAGTATGCAAAATAAAAGAGGCAATTGGGTTAATTCCAACTTTCTCATTCAGATCCTTTAGATACATTCTCCATTAATGATTAGTTTAAGGCCTTGGCAGTCAAAAGGAGAGAATAAAAGCATGTTATTTATGCAGTCTGGGAAAAGAATGGATGAGGGAGGAGAAAGATGAAGTGGAGAAAGATGAGCTCATTTTAAAAAAATTAAGCAAGGGTAGGTAAGTGGGTTAATGGCCATCTATTGTAATTGTCTTCTGTAAGAAATCCAGGCATCTCTTTTGTCGCAATTTTTTTTTAAGTCTTGTTCATCGAGGGAAATTGATCATCAGCTACTTTCTCGTAATTGCACCTAAAGCATTGGTTATACAGTCTGCAAGAGTTGTCATGCAGATGGGGCTACTGTCAGGCTCCTGGTTTCTTCCATGTTGTAGTATAGAAGAAAGGGGATTGTGAAAGGAGGGAAAGGAGCTTCCTAAAGTCTCGTATAAGCATGCTGTCTATATTTAAACAAGGAATACAATTATCACCATAACATTTTTCGAAGACATGGAGCTTGATGGCAAAGGGTTAGGCAAAGAGTTTCTTAATTACTTTTTAATATAAAAATGGCAAACTGAAATGTGAGAAATAGTGCTAAATTGTTGCAGTATCCCTAAATGGAAACTGTTGGGGTCAAACCAGTTGTCATTGTTGGTAAATTTATCATTATGTATGCAGTTGTGAGCCAGTGAAAAAGCTATGTATGTTATTCTGCATCCTAATATCCAAAATTAGTTAGAATAGACTTCTCAATGGAGGCTGCTTACAATCTGAAAATGTGAACTGAGTACCAAGTAGTAGAAAAATTACGGAACATTTTAACATTAGTTGAAATGAAATATTATTATTGTTAGTCGAGTGTGTGAGATGACATCTGGTCTGATAAAGACTTTTGCATCTCCAAGGAGAGGAAATGAAACATTTAAATTAAGAAGAATGGCCAGAATATTTTGGGTGAGGAGGAAATTAGTCTGGAGGGGAAAAAAAATTATTTTGGGTGGTGTGGGTTTTTTCCACTGGACAAAAAGGTTTTATTTAATGGATATTCACTGAGAAATGTTTAGTAAGATGTATCAGATTGGGATTGATTGTACAGCAAGTTAGACAAATAGAGAGACTTTATTTTTTGTGACTGCTTATTTTAAGACTGTGCCATCATGAGAGGTGTGGTGTCTCTTACTTCCTGACTACTGACTTCTTTGGATGGGTTATAGCAATTGCATGGCCCCATGGTGAGCTGGATCAGCTGGTGGATCAGATCTGAGTTGAAAACTAACTCAAGAGGAAAACCAAATTGATTTTTGTTGGATCAATGACTTAATGACTCACTGCATGCTCTTAGAGCTAGCCCAGAGGAGTTTGGAAAATGGGCCAAGGTCATGAGATATAAGGGGTCAGGCATGACCAGCCTGTTTTCAGCTCACACCTGACTGAAACTGTAGGATTAGTGTTAATAGGATGAACATGTTGGGGTTTTGTTTGTTGTTTTCCTTCTGTACTTTTTTTTTCTTATGGGTTCCTATCTTGTGTTTTTGTTCCTATCTTGCTAAAATCACAGATTTTGCTTGATTCATATCTTAACCTGGCTGATTAACGAACAACAAGATACTCCTCACCCAAAATTGTGGTAAAACTGAAAACCAGAGTACTGGAAGACCTTAAAGAGCAAGGTCTCTGGCACATTCTCTGTACCTGAAATGTAACAGTACGACCCCTTGTAGAAACTGTATGTGTTAGGTAGAGGGCTGATACCTCTGGATCAGGAGAGGTAGAAATGTATGTCTACATGCGGTTGCAGCAGAAGAGACTCTCAGGTGTGCGGTAAAATATTGCGGAATCCACCTGAATCCTGCAACCCCCAAAGTTTGCCATGCTTCAGCTTTAGAATAACTGAAGAAATCCTTTAATCCTACCTGGAATACTGTAGGGATTTTGAGATTCAAAAGACAGCGATCCTTTCATGGTTCTCTTCTTCAGATAGATGATATAGAGATGCCTCATAAAAGGGAGATACAGGAGCTTCACCATGAAGGTGAGAGCTTTTGCAATATCACACGGCCATTTGTAAACTGTTTAGGTTCTGCTTTCAAACAAATTCCTTTTTCAATACCCACTCTTCAGGTTGGAATACACAAATGCTAACTGCTGTCTTAATGTTTTTTACCAGTCTGTATATTTGTTAGCACTAGAAGTCTTTGAAGTATGTGTTTTCTCAGTACATTAGTTGCTTGCCAAAAAATATTTCAGTTTTTGAGACTTAACGGAAGTTGTTCTTCAGGGTCTTATTGCCTCACTTATTTGTCTCATGCATTTGTCTTAAATTGGATGTTGGCTTGTTCTAGAAACCATGGGTTTGGATACCTAGATGGTAATAAAGTTTTCAAAATACAAGAGACTTCAAAGTAAGGGGCGGGAATAATTTTCCTTTTCAAGCAGTGTTCCAAAGAGTATAGAATAATGATCTAACTGAAGTATCTGTCTCCCACGAGACTTAAATAAATATTCATACTGTCCTTCAAAGATATGACATCTTGATCTCATAATCAGAAGGTTTCATGTAGTTCCTGGGAACGTTGCCCACTGTGCAAAAGCTCACTTGTACAACAGACTATATTAGAAGCTTTTTGCTCTATCCACAATTACATGATCTATTCTTTATTCTCCTGCGTGAATACTCATTTGAGCCTACTAGATCTGCTGTTTTCAGGTAGTGATTTAAGGGTAGTGATGATACTCCTCTGACATATAGGGAGAGGCTGAGATCTGAGTTCCTTCAGTCTGGATAAAAAATTTAAGGATGGACTTAATTGTGGTCTTCAACAACCTATAGCCTGGAGGCTATCAAGAAGTCAGACTCTTCGCAGAGATGCCCAGCCTTGCACCAGGCAGCTCTAGCCCTGTCTTTGGGAGGAGGTTGGGTTAGATGATATCCAGAGATCACTTCGAACAAAAATTGTTTTATGACCATTAGTTCAGAAGTTCCTTTAACTCACACTCAGATTTATCGCCAAGGTTGGCTAGATCCAACAGGATGCAAGAGTAGCAACCTGTCATTTGAAGTGAAGAAAACTAGAAGGATGAAGACATTTCAGCAGTGACACTTGTCTTACCAGGCTGTTTTGGTTTCAAAGGTTAAAAAAAATAAAAATCTTTGCTCCAAGTACTTCGAATGCAGGTTTTGCTGTGTAGATCAGGTTGTGTGGTCTCTTGCATGTATGTCCTTTCACTGGGCCTGTGCCAAGATTCATTGGCTTAATTTAGAAGATATGCATGAAGGGCTTATGCTATTTTCAGCATTGAAATATACTTATGAGACACATGAAACAGTTTGTTCAAGACCTTTATTTATCTGGGGAAAGTGGACTGCTGCAGGTACAATACCTTGTAAGGATGCAGGAGATCTTGGTGGGCAACGTCAAGAATTTTTTTTTGGACAAAGCATTCTTGAAAAGTAGACGTAGCTTAATGAGCTGGGGCATACCTGATGCAGATCTCTTAATGTAAACAAGCAATGTTAGAAGCAAGGAAAGCTGTAAGTCTGGCATATAGCTTAACCTAATTTGTTCAGACTTCCTTAGTACTAGAAAGAGGGCAGTGTCAAAGCTGGATGAAATAAATTCCCCCCAAATTTTAGAGTGTGGTAGGTGATTGAAAGGCATGTAAAAGTTTAACTTATGCTTGCTCTGTCTGTTAGCTTTCCTTCCAGTGGTTATACGTAATATAATGCAGGAGATGTTGCTGGTGGTAGCGTTGTCTTTAGCTTCAGGCTATGCCCTTTATCACACTTACAGGGTAAGGTTTCAGGGAGTAGGATTAAATTATATATGTTGATACCCTCTCTGCAATTCGATACTTGGTGCCTTTGCTGATTTGAGCCACTAGAAAGAGTTGCTCCATAAAATCCTATTTCAACACTTGGATTAGTAAAAAAAAAAAAAAAAATTTAAAAAAAATCCAGTTCCCTTTACCTTTCATGTTGAGTCTTTTATGTTTTCATATGTTCTAACTGACAGACTGTAAAAAGAGCAAGAATTAGGTTTTTAGGCTGTTGGGGGTGGGAAGTGATTCCCACTTGTGTCACTGAAATGCAGTGCTCATCAAAAATGGCGAATGCCGAAATATCATTTGAACCTTACTGTGGAGATTAGTCCCTGGCAGTCATTTCTATGGAAGCTTGTGCTAGTCTTGGTGATTGCATGAGACTGGAGAAACTTAAAATTTGTTTAATGATGGTTGGTAAGCCCTGACCTTAAGGGGGGCGGGGGGGAAAAGGTTCTTTTGACATGTAGCCTTTATGAATGATGATTCCTGGTTCCTTTTGAGATAGGAGCAGACAGCCATAGCCAACCAGTTGGTTGACTGATTTGTCTCAGATTGATGATGCCTTGTTAAGTTAGTATTTTTTTTCTAATTACTTGCCTTGTTTATGAAACAGACCAGAAGTTGGTGAGTTTAAACTATTGGAAGCTGTCAAAAACAGGACTGTCATAATCTGCTTTGCTGAAAGTTCAGGGTCATGTTTCCTGAAATGCCTGGGTAAGAAGGGTTTCTGTGATAGAGCTATAGATGACCTCAGGGTACAAACACTTTTTTTTTCTTTTTTTTTTTTAATCCAAGGAAAGTGAATCTGCAGAACAGTTGCCAAGGAGAAGGATAACTATGGTATACATGGGCAGTTTTGCCCTTCAGTTTGGTACTCTGAATTTTTCTTTCTGTGGCTTCAGTCTATTAGGCAATACCAGAGTTGGCACACTAATAATTTATTTTCTATTTTCTTTGATTAACTCCAGTGTTAACTTCAATCTCCTTCCTTGATACTTTTAATTTTACTGGCATAGCAAACTGTCACAGCCTTTGTTGCACTGTAATTTGGAACTGGCATGTGGAAGACTGCCACAAAACCACAGGGACGTCTCAGCCCTGTGCTCAAGTGTACTGCAACCTTCCTGTTGGTTTTGCTCTGGCTGGAATTTTACTTGTTGAATCTAGAACTTCCTTGGCTGTACCCTTTGATTTTTTGAACAACCCAGCTGTAAGTGAATGACAGCTGATGTTTTGGTTTTCATGTGACCTCCTTAATTTCTCCTCTTTCTCCTCCCCGTTTCCCTCCGAACTTAGCATCATCAGCATCTTTGAACTTAGGCAAATACCGTTTTTGTATTTGCTTGTTTCTTTGATTCGTAGTAGCTCCTCTGCCTCGATGTTTTAAGGTGTATGATATACCACCTGGGGTGGTTGGTTTTCTTTTTTTTTCCCCCAATGCATAACTTCATATTTTTCAACTTGCAGTTAAAATTTGTCATCCTGGAGCTAAAGAAAAATCAATGAGAAGCCTGTACTTATACTGAGAACCCCTGCAGAAAGCTTTGATTAGAGAAAAGCTTTAGATCTGACTCTTACACAGAATTGTCCATCAGGTGGCCAGTCATTTTGGCATGTACTACTGTATACCACAGATGCTAGAGATGGAAAAAGGTCTATTACATCATGTAGTTCATCTTCCAAAGTATGTATACAGTTACTTCAGCAGATACACAACTCATCATGTTTATTCTTTTTGTTGAAGACTGTTGTCCTTCAAGAAGCCACTTCTAATTTTAATTTTGGCATGGTTTTTGATCTTGTTGCTTTTTATGATCACTAATTTTTAATAGATTTAAGGATGGAAGATGAGCCTACCTTCAGTAGGAATGCGTTAATTGACAGGTGTCCTGAAGTTCCACATTCCTGGCAGTCGTCCAGGATGACAGAGCAGTAATGATTTAGAAACTGCCATTCCTTACTGCTGAAAGGATTGGAGGAAATCTGTGAAGTTATTAACTACTACTCGCTTCTAACAGATTGTGAGAAGATCATTATGGCATCTAATTAGTTGAGATTACCTCCTTTATGCAGAATGTTCGGGATTTTTTTTAAATTCCTTTGCATGCTGTCATACGGCTCGCACTGATTTTTTTTTTTTTTTCTTCTCTTCCTTTTAATGTTCTGGATGGTTACTCTGAGGCTTTGAGTAAGGGATCATGTTCCTATCTCTGTATGGTGTAATTAGTACAGCTATTTAAATATTATCTGGAACCCATTTACCCTAGCTGTCAGTTGCTGCTTAGTTCAGTGGAAGTGCTTTTATGTAAATCACAGAACAATACTTCTGACTTGTAACAAGATTGGGCTGAATTTAAGGTACTGAAACACTTCAACCTGGAATAAAATGTCTTGCTGAATCAAGGGTAGAAGGTTATAAAAGCTGCCACTTTTTAAAAGTGTATTATGCTGACATATGTATATGTAGAAATTGAATTAGCTGTGATAACTCCTACAGTGGGAAGCTTCCCACTCATTTTAAAAAATTTAGGGAAAAGCTGGCACACATGAAATTTTCCTCCCAATTTGCACGCTGTTTAGTAAGTTGGACCAATGTTCCTTGGTATCTTTTTGCAGTACGCTGCAATTTCAGCGTTTCTCTAAGAACATTTGGAATTGATGCTTGATGGGGAGGGGGGCAGATGCTTTCCTTTTACTCCTTTCCAAGTAATTTCCTAATGGAAGTGGTTTCTTCTATGGCTAGGGGATATTTGCACTTCATATGGATCTAATGGCATTCTTGATGATTTTGATTGCTCTTAAGCTTCTGTGAAAGTTTCTGTCCTAGTCGTGGCTTACTTCATAACTACATAACAAATAGGAATTTTTTTCTTCCATTCAAATAAAAACAGCCCTTCCTTCCCCCTCCCCCCCTTCTTTAATATACAGACCTTTTGCCATCTGATACTTCAGTGGCAAATCTTGAACTTCGATTTGATTATTCAAATATTTCAATGAAATAATTATGAAAGTATCTCATCTTTCATATATGAGCAAGTCATCTAGTTTTCTTTTTTTTTCCCCCAGAAAGATGGGCTTCTGACATGCTGACCAAGGCAAGATTAATAAATTGTGGCTTTTGTTTGTGTCTCTGTTTTCAGCTTGGAGTGTAAGCTTGTGTCACTTTGCTCTGTCATAAATACTGTGTTAAATTACAGCAATTTTTTTTAAGAAACTGTTTGATTTTTTGCCAGGGATTCCTGAGGCATCTAGTAATAGTTTCAGGGATCCTATTCCTTCTCTGAAAATCAGTGCCAATTTTGGACTGTGCAGCTGTCCCAGTTTCCTTTTCATTAATTCTCACTGTAGGAATAAATGTTTGTTGTCTGATGTTTATTATATTAGCTTATTTAAAGTCAGCTATTTCCTTCCCCACATGGGTCGTGCTTCACACACCA